ATTGGAACTCATTCAAACTGACCGAGTTTCTTTTTTTTTCTGCAGTATTGAAACGTAAAAAAATACAGAAGACATCCGTTTCCATCATCCCATGTTCCCCAGTTTAATATTTAGATCAAAGTTTGCTGATGCAGACAGATTATGAGAATTTGATTTTGAACTGAATGGTTTAAAAATGTTTGGCTGTTGCATCTTCTTGCATTTATAGGGAAAACAATGCCTGGATGTGTCATAAACAGGGTAAAAGCAGAGTCATGTTTTGTGGTTAAAACTGCAACCTTTTATAGAATCAAAATGACAACGAATTAATTCTAAACATAAAAGCTTCTACAGAGATCTTGCTTTATATATAGAATCAGGACAATAAAAGGACTGAAGTATATGAAAAGTCAAGTGGATAAAGATAGATAACTAGTTCATGTTTAACAAATAAAACTGGAAGTTTGGAAACACTTTTTTTAAATCTTATTTTTCTATCCAATGCATATCCAGGACAATATCTAGAAACCCTAAAAAGGTCAGCAAAGGTCATAAATCTCTGTGCAACCTCTATAAAAAAATAAATAAAGATAATACAAATATGAGGAGTATATGATGTCCAGCAAAAATGTCAACATGTAAAATGTTCCTTATCACATTCTCTATCACCTTGCCTTGATAAAACTGGGAAACATAGAAGTGTGGGAACATAAAAGCGATGCCTTTCCATCCGTTCCAACATTATAGAGTGTAAACTGCACCGGAAAAAAGCCCTTTCTGATTTGCATCTTCTAAAAGTTTTAACAGCTTTAAACAACAACAACAAAAACAGGACAAGCCAAGTGTAGTTTTCCCCCCAAAAATAGAGAATCCATCTTTTCTTTTACATTAAAATATCTCTGCCGTTGAACAGCATTCACATCGGCCCAAACAGTCCCAGCTTAAATGTCGGGGAGTCACAGTTAAAGTGCGAAGCAACTAGAGGACTAAAACATTGCACTGTAACATAAACAGTTCACTTTATCCAGCCCAGAACCAAATATGGTAGGCAACATCAGAAAACAAAGAAACATGTCTTAAAACAAGCTTCACTCTAGCATAGCAAGATTAAGATCCAGTACATAGCATGGGATAAGAATCTGCTTAAAGTGTCCATCATGTCATGCAGCTGACTGCATAATCTAGATGCTTCAGAGGTCCACGAATGCAAACAATCAGAGCCAGTGCCAATCTGGAACATTTACAGAGTGGGTCCTCCGGTTTGATCAAGAGGCGGATTTCTCCACAATCGACCGGCTTCCACTGTATGAAGAGAGATGCTACAGTATGAAGAGAGAGCGGTACAAGCAACAGTCAGTTTCTTCATGGGGACTGGAGAGGAAGCTTTGACCTGCTGTGACGGAACCAAACAGTCCGAACATCAGCTCATTGGGCTAAAACGACACCGCCACAGAATTTACATTCTTTTATCATCCATGAAGTAGCATCGTACAGAAATGGAGGTAATAGTCACTTAACAGGAGTTCACTGTTGCACAGGAAGAAACCCATAACATGCATCCCATTAGACTGTGTTAGCATAAGGTTACACAAATCAAACCTGCAGAGCTATAGAAGGCCTTCGATTAGAGGTCTGGACTGTCGGTTTAGTCATGCATTTTGTTGCAGCTTTATGTACAAAGTCCATTTAAATGACTTCAGCAGGATGAGGGACAGGGATGAAGCTCCAATCACTGGCATCACAACGGTTAAGTCTACTTATGTGCACAAACCTTTGGAAAAATCTGTACACATTTTTAAGCTTAAAGAAAAAATCCAACATCATTTATGGAGTAAGTTACATGTTAGTGTTGTATATTATATCCCTGTTAAAAACCACCAGTAGCTAAGTTGGAATATTAAGAAATGGTTTTTCCTCTGGGGTTCTGCATGAAATTAACGTAGATTTTCAATTCTAGCTTCAAAAATACCACATAAAATAAAATCTACATTAAAATAAGTTAAATTAATTTGAAAGATCCCGATTTCTCTGACTTCAGAAAGCTCAGAAGAAGCTATCTGAATCTGAAATACAGGAACAACGAAATAAAACATCGCTTAGAAGATATTTTAGCGTTTAGTCATTTAATCTCAAGTTGTTTTTTTCCCCTGGCTCAAGTTAAAAAGATGTCGGAAAACTCATATTTTATATAAACCATCAAAAAAATATTAGCTAAAAAAACAAATCTATGATAAACTCTCCACTATAAAAGAAAAAAAAAAGAAAAATGCAGCAATATTATAAGTATTTAAGAAATGAAGAAGGCAACGTTGAGCGTCAACTTAAAGCTGGATTTATGCTTCAGCGTAAAGACCTTTCCCTTTTGTCAACGTTTCAAAACAAATTTTTGGTCTTTGATTGTCATATCGCCACTGAAACACTCCTGTCCCACGATCAAATATCTAAAAATCAACATTTTGCGTCATATTTAATAAAATACAAGCGTTACATTTTTGGCTGGAATTTGACCAAATAAAGTTTTCAATAAAAGCCCCTATAAAAAAATTCTGACAAAAGCAGCCCATAATGACCACACATCTGTAGCTTTCGGAGGTACACGCAGTAAAAACAGCTCCTTTATTAAGTTTCAGAAGAATAAATCCAGCTGAGCATATGGAAAAAAAAAGTTGGATTTTTCCTTTAAGTTCCAATTTTTTTTGTCATCTCATTTGCATAGGAGTCAGGGTGTGTTAAAGGCAAACAAAATGGCTGATGGAGCTTTTTACAGGACACAACAAACACTTTATATCACGCAAACCTGTCCAACTGAGCCAGAAGTGTGAATCCCTTCTTGGTGTGTTTGGACAGTTAGTAAAAATATCAATACAATTGCACCCAAACTTACAGTTTGCAGGAAAAAAAAAAAAAAAAACCCAAACAATAAAACTAAATCTACGGACGCTTTTCAGGGAAAATCTCACAAAAAGGCTGAGGCAGACCCATTGGCACTGAATGTGAAGGTGGTATTCTTAGTGTCAGCCATGAAACTGGACAGATCTGAACTCATTGTGGACGACAGTGTGAACAGATCTGGCTTGAATGTTCTGTTTTCTGGAGCTTCCAAGACTGAGCGAACAAGGCAGGATCTTTAAAACATTGCACATTTCACAGAATTACATTTAAAGAGTATTTTTTTTAATATATACCTTTAACTATTTTAATGCCCCTCATCTAAACAGAGGGTAAAAACATTCTATGATAAAGTTTATAAAATCTAAAATTGCACCTTTCACTGACCCTGCACTTGCAAGGCCTCTCTCTGTAACTAACATCTGTTGCGTTTTTGTAAGAGACCCCCTGTAAAGGAGCAGAAAGCCTCCCCATACTTGCACTCTTTAATTCTCTTTATATCCCCCCTCCCTTTTTGTTTTTTTGTTTTTGTCCCACTAAAAAAAACAGAAAAAAAACAAAGCCAAACAATTTGGTTATAAAGAGTACAGCAACAAAATACAGTACGTCGCTTGTTAAATTTTACATAACCACAAAGATCACTGACCAAAGTTTGTCTCAAATACAAGAAAAAGGTCATATTTTAAGTTAGGAAAATACATTGTCACATAAAACACTGACTAACAGTAGTTTGTTACTGTAAGGCAAAATCAGGTGATTTCACAGTGAATGATTCAAATGTTCTTTTACAAGTGATCTTAGCTAAAATATATTCAATTATACACTATATAGCCATAAATATCCCCCATTGTGAATTTACTTGTTAGATCTGTTGGAGTCTATTGTTCTGTCAAACCAAACTTAATCATTGATTTTCTGATGGACCGTTGCCAGCCATAGAGCTAGTTCCTGAAAGCTGGGAGCATAAACTCATCTAAAATGACTTGTATGCTGTAGTGTAGGAGTTCCACTCCATGGAACTAAGGGGATTGGCCTTCCACCAGATCCCAGACAGGAAATTGTTGTTTGTGGCAACTACCAGACCCCACACTCTCATCCTGTATCGTATAACAGTTTGAGTTTGACACTCCAGAACTGTCTCCACTGCTGTAGAGTCCTGTTGGGGCATGCTTTACCACTGCTTCTGGAATTATGAAGCGCACTCTGATGTAAGTCTGGGAAGCAGCTGCTCAGCCATGCATCCTACCCATAAATGAAGCTCCCTATGCACTGTTCCTAAGCTCATCTAAAGTCAAATGAGATTAGGGATTACTGCACACACCTTATGTTTCTTCCACTTTTTAAGAATACCACTAACCAATGTCTAGAAGCAGATTGCATGCCCTGGAGTCCATGTCATGGATTTTACATACTAAAAATCAAATATTCAGATGGCTTAGAGAATACTTTTGGCAATATAGTGTATAGAGATTTTATATATATTATATATAGACTATTACTTGCTGAGAATGAATTTCGATGCACTTGTTTTGGTTAAACTGAATTCCCTAATGACTCCCAGTGTTTGACCTGAAGTGGTGCTAAATAATTGGATTTGCTTGTTGGACTGCAGCACATCAACTCTAGATAATGGCACACCTAACACAAAAGAGCAATTATGGGGAGGTTTTGCACTCCTTCATTAAACTATTAGAAACATAAAAACGGCACATAAATATGTTTGCGACTAATTACATTAGTGGAATTTTACACTGCCTACAGACATTTTGGCATCAGATGTCAAAGGTTTGAAATGCCAGACCTTTGACCAAATAAATAAATAAATAAAACATAAATACACAAACATCATACAACAAGAAAAGAACATTTGGTTGTCAAAAATAAAGCTTTGAGTGTCACGGGAAAAAAAAAGTCAACATGCTATTGTTGGATAACTTGTTTGTGGGGTAGTGAGTAAACTGGCTATGTGGTTTTATTCCCCTCCTCTTTTAGACATAGCCAAAAACTATTATTTTACCCAGTAACTTAGCAGCTTCCTGCTACAAGCAAATATAAATAAAACAAGTGTGGATATGAAAACAGCTGCAATGTGCATTTTTTTTTTCAATTATGTGGCATGTAATGAAGCACTGTAAACAAGAGTAGGCTAGCAGAAGCGCAGAGCAACCAATCTTATTCAAAACAACAGCGAGGCCATTCCAGTTGCAAGCCAATGGACGACTTTTTCCCTGTTGTTTTTTTCTTTTTCTTTTTTTTTTTAATGGCGCATCTTTCAGAGTCATAGAACTGGACGGCCATGCAACGAGGGAGGGGCTTCATCCTACCCTTTATCTCTCTTCACCCAAATTAGTGTTTTTATCCTCCCCTCTGTGCCCTGACACAGCGCTCACGCTACAGCCTGTCCATCCTGAACGTGTCCTCTGTAGCGGGGTCTGCTAGCACTATGTCAGGGTCGTTAAGCATATGAAGTCCGTCCAGTGTGAGTGGATCTATCTTCAGCTCGTCCAAGGGGAACTGAGAGTCTGCATCGAAGCTGACGTCACTGACGCCAGCCAGAGAGTTGGCGAGCTCTTTAGAGAGGCTGGGCGGGGACTCATCTGTGACTGAGAAAGGTGAGAAATGGACAGGTTTACCATAAAACAGCCAGATTATTACATCTTATGGGGCTGTGTGCATACAGTTGAAACCAGGTATTAACCTATCCTGCAGAAAAAGATATCTTCTTGACATAAGCAATCTTGTTTTCGGTCAGTTAGGATGTGCATACACATACATCCAGTAAAACACCTGTAAAATGCATTTTCACATACATTAATGTTAAAATTCTTGGCAAAAACCGAAAAATTAGGAAACCAAGGCCGAAAACTGAAACACTGAAAGAAGTTATGTCAAATAATAAAATCATAGCACTTCTGGCTTCGGTGTAAAGTAACCCGATTAAAAAGAATAATATTTTTAGACTCAAGGCATATTAATGAACCATAAATTATTCAATAACAAAATCTACAAAATATTTACTGACATTTGTTTTTGTTATGCCCTTTACATAAGCAGAATGACTGGGAAACGTTTGTGCGTTTTCAAACATGTCAGTTCAAGTATTCAGTGTCCATTTTCTTTTCCTTGTTGCATGGTGATAATGGGGATAATGGGGAATGTTTGGATTTCTGCAGCATCGTTTTTGTGCCACTAACCTGAGCCCACACTGAGACCAATGTATGTTAAACTCGCTCCCCCTCACTCAAAACCTTTCCATCGCGTACTCAACTCCGAAAACTCTGCAGTGCAACTTGTGCTATTTTGCTTCATTGCTTTACTTAGTGCGCTCAACATCGTATCTGCATGCCAACTATAATAATTTTTCTAGCGACTCTTTTTTCTCTCGTGCAGGATGTTTCGTTTGTCGCGTTGTCACATGTTTCGGCCGTGTTGTTTCTGTGTTTAATGTCTTTGAGACGAAAAGTTCCGGTTGCCAAATTTTCAGTGCATCCCTAATAATATTACAATACTTTTACATCGATTATGAGACTGAAGGTGGCGGAGGTGTTGAGGGGGTTGTTTGACTTTATGTTGGTCTAGCACACTTCACATCACGAGAAACGAACATGATTCAAATGTTGAAGCAACATCTGAAAATAGTCAGAAAGTGGAGGACTGAGCACAAATGGGTCTAACGCTCATTCTTAGACCATCTCTGTGTTAGTTTAATGGCAACATGGACAATGTTTTAGAAGGTAGGGATGTCCTGATACAACTTTTTTATTTCAGATACAATACCTCATTGCCTGTGTAAAATATCAGTTTTCTGGGTGATGGCAACCACAGAACAGGCTGACAGCATTGTTTGTATTAGGCGGTAATGTGGCACCAGACCCTCAGAGGGCTATTATATTATGAGGTATCGTTGCAATTATCTAGTGTGACCACTAGATGACTCTAGAGACTACACACTATTACATTTCTGAGCCTTGGAAGGATTGTTTCTTTCTTCTATAGACTTTCAGTGTCTATACAAGAGTAGTACAGTCTTCAGAAAGTTTGTGCATATTCACTTCAATTTGTAGGGTCCACTGCAGGCGTGCCGTACGGCGGAGAAATTTAGGACGATTGTAAGGGCCCTTGACTGAGCAGGGGCCCAAAAGAAGAAGAAGTTCAAATGTAAAAAGAAAATCAAGCTTAAAATAAATAACCCTATAATCTCCCTCATTTTTCAGCAGTAAACAGTGAAACATAGCATGAATATATTGAAATTGCAATAAATGGTTTGGTCCTCAGATCATGCATCGGGGCTTCCTGTCTGTCACTGGCCATTTGCTCGAACCAGGGCTTAAGTGCCACGTGCACATCATTTGGCATAGTGATAATGAAAGAAACAAAAAAAAGAAAATGTGTAAATAAGCAGTGTGGTAAAAACGAAAATGCAGCGCCCTAGAGGCTGGGTTTTAAAAAGGAACAGAGAGGAAGGGGAAGAGGAGAGAGGGAGAAGGCATCCAATACCGTGACCCAGTTTTCTCCCTCTCCCTTTTTGGTAAAAATATTACAATACAAATTAGATTCACAATGTAAATGATACTCTTCAGTGCATCTTTGTAGCTGTTTTAAAGCTTGCATAATTGCTTTTTTATTGATTTGGGATATAATATCAATGACTTTCATGGGGCCCCAAATTCCTGGCAGCCCCCCTGCTCCATTATAACATAAAATATGGTTGTATATAATATTGTATTGTTCTTAAGGTAATTTTTTTTTCATAATTGTTCATTTAGACCACACCCATGCTTCCAGAGTTACCTGTATACATGCTAAAGTCTGGTCTCTCTATGCTCATACTCTGACAGGAGTAACTGTCCAAGATATAATGTGATAACATTCAGAGTTCTTAACTCTGCCACAGCCATGTTTCAGCAAAACACATAACACTGCACTGCATATATTCTGGCTGTGTCCTTACTAGGACCTGCAGTTCTCCTACCTTTTGTCCTAAAGATCTGACGTTGCCAATAATAATTGATGGAAGAGACGTCTTGAATTTCTTTCTCCTCTCTCTTCTACTTGCTCTGCCTCCTTTGTGCCTCCTGTTCAACTAAACTGGTATTTGTGGTTCTCTTAAAAAAACCACAATGGAATCAAGCAAATAGTTACTTCAAGCGCAGCCACCTTAAGCAGCGCAACTCTAGTTTATTGATCATTTTGTAGTGTGGAGTGCTAGTGCAGTGCATCGTGCACTATGCCAACCAAAGAGTAACAGATTAATGACATATTTTTTCTCTGGCCAGAAGTTTGATGGCAAATCCTCCCTCTTCAAGTTGGCAATCCAACAACGAACCCGTCCTTGGAGGATCATGAATTGGAAAGGTGAAATAATACTTTTTTTTTTTTCTTCAATTTTACCTAAAGTATTGCAACATTTAACTGCCATGCACGTGGGCATTGTCAGTTTAAATATAATCTGGTGAATTTAAATGGGGAAGTCCTCTGGAAATCTTAAATAATTGTTGTTTATTGCAGATGTGTCTAGTAGTTCCCATTGATTTTGCTTGTAAAGCGGGGAGAATGGCGCTAGGCTTACTGCACCGTGGCATCACTGCCGAAAGATTTCAGGAGTGAGGTGTTATTATATTTGGGGCAAAAATGGCCGTTCCAAGATTCAGTGATCGCAACGAAAATTTTTATTTTATTTAATTTTTTTACTGATTAACCCTAAACTCATTAAATCAACGCAAACTTCTTAGTTTTAGGTATAAATAATGACCCATTGGTTATTTCTTGATGACCCGACCTTTCCCTTAAACAGAGAAAGCTTGGTTAGATGTATGATTAGAAAATGGGGATGTTATGCATCTTATCTTGAGGCCTTACTCATACTTCATCCATCCTGTACATTCCTATTAATATACATTTTATTCTCTACTTCTTGTTTTTATATACCTGTAAATATTTTTTTTTTCTATTTATATAATTTGATCTTGTAGCTAGTTTTTAAATTAAATTTTTTTATATTCGGATGTAACTGGGGCCGTGACTCTCAATTTCGTTCTACCTCATGTAACACGTGATGTGAATGACAATAACGTCTCTTGAATCTTGAATATAAATATCTGGTTTCAGCTGAATTAAACTCTTTATATATCTTCAGAACCCCCAGAACAAGCCGATCTGGGTTTTCATTCTGGACCCATTACAACCGGTACCCAAATTTGGATGAATGAAAGACAATGGATGAATGGTACTGCTGCTACCTGTTAGGATGATGTTGGGGATGTTGCCGTGGCTACTGTAGTTGAGCTGCTGTGAGTCCTGTAGGCTACTCCCGGTAAGGCCCATCATGGCTGCCTGCGTGTAGTTGAGGGTGGAGCATTGGCTGAAAAGGCTGGATGAGCTGATGGGACTTTCGATCATGTTGAACTGCTCAAGCTGAAAAGTTTATATTTGTGAGGCAGAGCAGAGTCAGACAAGGCGAGGACAAAGCAGCTGTTGGTGTTTTAGCTTACCTGGTGAGAGAGAGCATTGGTCTGCCTAGACGCCAACTGCTGATCATAGAAGGAGTCACCAAATATACTGCCTACAACGGGAATGTGCTGAGGGAGAACAAGGACATTTGGTGATTCCAATAAACACAAACAATTTATTGAAGTTGATTAAAAAAGCACAGATTTAAGTGAATGACTAAGAAAACCAAGCAAGACAACACGCATGACAGCTTTCTAATAGAGCAGTGAATATTAGCAAGTGAATCTCAAAACCAGGGCTAACACACAGTAATGGAATGATGAATTTTAGGTGCAGCAGCCCTGTTAGTGAAGAATTGCAATTCTGTCAGAAAAACCCTACAACTCTGAAATAACCACCAAGCCAACAAACCCTCAATTTTAGGGGAAAAAAGAAAAAGGGGCCTGGCAGAAACACTAAACAGCTCAGAAAGGCAGTAAAAGCCACAACAGAGAGGTCACACATTTTAAAACAGGCAAAAAGCAAGAAGTATGAGAGCTAGAAGGTCCCCTTGCTAATCTTAAAAAAACAACAAACCATTCTAGCGCAAATCATGAGCAGCCTTGAAATGGCCTTCTTAGCAGGTACCGGCCTCATTAAACCACCTGAGACTGTTTTATGGTAGCCAATAATGTACTAAAGGGACATAATCCACCGTTGCCCAGAATATGAGAAGTTTGGATCTGAACTGATGCATATAAACTACTTTATAAACATCTGACAGCTAGTTGTAACAGAGAGGAACTATACTGTAAATGGTTCTCTGAGGCAAGTTCTGAAAATTTTTTCACTCCTGTGCAAAAATAACCTCTTATTGTACTGATCTACAACTGATCTCACAACTGTAAGGTAAAATAAAAATTGCAGGAATGTGTCATCATACATAAAAAAGATGAAAACATATTTCAGCAATGCACAATTAAAAATTGTTCAACTATTCCTAAAAATATAGGAACCTCAATTGCACCAGCGAACAGCAAAAGAAAAGTAGACGGGTAGTATCCCAGTTCTATGTGTGGTGCACGCAGAGAAAAAAAACAACAACATGTCATGCACACAGTGAACTGTGACAGCGGCGATGAAGAAATTAGATATGCAGCTGCCGACACCATGAGTGGTGCGAAGACAGAATGAAAAGCAGCCTGCTATGAACAGTAAGCTCTCCCCTTGCAGCAAAGCCGTTCCCCAGACAGCAGCTAGCTCAGAGGGTGGGCCCTTACTTGAGGCGAGCCTCCAGGGGAGAAGCCTTGATTGGAGACTGGGGAGGTTGGAGACTGAGTGGCTGGTGAGCCAGTCTGATTGCGATACTGTTGGAGGGAAGAGGGTTAGCTAGCACTAAGCTTCATGTCAAACACACACAAACTTTGGTAATGAAATCTGAGCAGATACAGTGAGGGCCCAAAGTCAGTATACTGTGACATACTGTATGCCCTGTTTTGCAAATCTTGAGTTGTCAGTTCACTGTGGCATTTATATTACTGCAAGTGTTTGGATTAAAAGAAAAAAACTTATAATTGCTGAATTATTGCAGTGGCACATTTTTTATTACTATTATTATTTTTTAACCACACAGGTGCAACTGAAATAATTTTGTTCTTGTAATATAGTTAGGTCTGAAGAAAAGACACAAAAACTTTGGCACGAAAGTTCTTCATGGACTTCAAAACAGGAGGTTTGACAGTAAAGAAAGCTTTTCCGATGCTTCACTTGATGCTGGGTCTGTTTTTCAATCTAATCAATCGTTTTAGAAAATCCAGCTGCCAACAATGCAGAGCTTGTTAAAAAGTGGTAGCAAGTAGAAAGAGACGTTGAGGCTGTAACCGTATGTAGGAAGGGTAAAAAAGATGCTGCTTATCTAAAGAAAACAGAAAGAGTGAAGTACTGCTGTTGGTTTAATGATGGACAGCAGAAGACTGAGAAAAGGTGTCTTCACTGATTAAACAGTCATCATCCCAGGAAGTGGGCTTACTCACAGCACAGCAATAAATAAAGAATAGGCTAAAAATAGCCTCTAATGCTACGCTCAGACTGCATGCAGCAGAAGCATCTAGTTTACATGTAAAGTCAACCGTCGAAGCACATCAAGGCGCAGCAAAAGGTACTGCACCGATTTTGAGCAGCAGGAGCTGTGCGTCTGAGCAGCTGAAGCAGCGCCTCACTAGCTTCTGACCATCTGACGCCCGTGAAAAAATTTTACTTATGCTGCACGACGTGCCACATCAACCAATCAGAGAAGCTGATCGTCTACAGACCACATCGGCTAAAGACAATGAAGAAACATTTAGACCCTTATGCTGCGTTCACACCGGGGGCAGCTGGCGCGACAGAAGCAGCGAGTTTACATGCAAAGTCAATGGTTGACGCGCGTCAAGGCGCAGCAAAAGGTCCCGCGGCGCGTTTCGAGCAGCAAGCGCAGCGCGTCTGAGCAGCTGAAGCAGCGCGTCGGGCGCGTTTTGGCATCTGACGCGCGTGACGCGCCGCAAACGCGTTGCTGCTCGAGATGGAAAAATTGAATTTTTGCTGCTCGACGCGCCGCGTCAACCAATCAGACAAGCTGATCTGGGAGCTGGCTGGGAGAGAGACACAGCGCTGATGACACAGACCGCTCTGATCACTTCTCTTAAACAGTTTATTAACGCATAATTAACTTAAAATATATACATCTGCCGGCAGAATATGTTGGCTTTTATTATCCTGGTGCCTGCAGATCGGATTATTTAGATGAAAAACACCTACCAGCCGCCGCGGTAAACCGCGAGGAGGCGACCCGCCAGAGGCTGCTGATGAATGGATTCCTTCTGTCGGCGCACCGTCGGTATGTGGGGGTCTGAGCGGCTCCGACAGAAATAATATTGGGAGGCAGGATCGTAATCTGGATGAACTGACTGCACTGATGAAGTTTTCAGGTGTATTTTCTCACTTAAAAACATATTAAAACTACTTTATTCCCACTGATCACAGCAAATATAGCTGCAAGGCAGAGAAAGGATAGTGAAGCTCCGCCCAACGCGCGTCAGACACACTTTTGCACCGCGCAGGCAGAGCAGCAAAGCTGCTTCAGCCGCGCGTCAGAACTAACTGGTACAAGCAGCAAAAATGAAGCAGCAGACGCGATTTTGCTGCTTTTGCAGCGTCCGGTCTGAACGTAGCATTAGTGTGATCAAGTCCAAAATAGGTCCCTCTTTGGGGGTTACACACATTTCCGAGAGTATCTGATGGTTCTAATGGACTCCATTGAGACAGACACAGAACTGCTGATGCTGATCGCTATAATCAATCCTCTGAAACTTAAATTGTCATAACCTGCCAGCAAAATTTGCTGTTCTCTTTTATTATTCTGGTGCCTGCAGTTTGGATTTATGTACATAAAAAACGGCTTCCATCAGTTGTATTCCCAGTGACAGCGCCCGTCGGTGTACAGGTGTCTGAGCGGCTCCGACAGCAAAATAATATTTGGAGGGAAGGATCGTAATCTTGATGAACTGACTGCACAGATGAAGTTTTCAGTTGGACTTTATCACTTCAAAACATATTAAAACTACTTTTTAACCACTTATAACAGCACATATAGCTGCCGTTGTTACAGGCAAAGAAAGGATTGGGTAGCTCCGCCAAACGTGCATCAGACCCACCTTTCGACCGCGCAGCTAGAGCAACAAAGACGCTTCAGCCATGCATCAGAACTAAACTTGTACAAGCATCAAAAAAGAAGCAGCACGCACGTTTTTGCTGCTGCTGCGTGCGGTCTGAACGTAGCATAAGAGTGGCTTTTTCAAAAAATCTGGGAATAACTTGCATGTTATTTTATCTAGCATGATGTACAACTACTCTAAGGAGGGTCCTGAAAAGATCCTATTGAAATGTAAAACCAGTAGTCAATTATTTAATAGGTGGATAAGCAGAAGCCAGTAAATTGTTATCAACTCCAAGCTAGAGATGCACTGATCTGATACCTGTATCAGATATCGGTGATCCAATTCAGTGCACTCTACATGGAACTGTGATTTCTTTCTTTTTGCTGCTTATTTGTTAATAAATAATATAAAGTACCTTTAAATCTGTGTTGATTTGTTACCTACTTTTTACAATTTTATATCAAGGCTAAAACCTTCACACACATATGGTTAATTCATTCAACAGTTGAATGGGATCGGTATCAGAAACCAGCCGAAACGCTCAGCCCAGGTATCGGATTGGATCGGAGCATCTCTACTATAAGCACTAATAACATCAGAATGAGTCAGGATCTCGTAGGAAATCTGGTATACAGAATGGCAGAATTAATTTGAGAAATTATTAAAAACATCAAATGTCTACGTACGGATCCTTAAAAAACCAAAGATCTTTAAATTGAAATATCCAAGATTGTTTCACAGTCAACCATAACACATCTAAAAGAAAAAAAAAAACTGAGGCCACAAAACAACATTTCTCACTGCTAAGACGTTTGGCTCAGACTGTAGAAAAGAACAAGGAACTTTATCATCAACCCCTAGAAATACAGAGAGATTTTTCTGGAAGGCATAGCAGCAAGTTTATCATGTGTTCAAACGACTTCAAATACAAGTAATAAAACTGACAAGTTAAATCTTAGCAAAACAAAGGCATTAGTATTGAAATGTTGGGAACCATTTTTTGCAATTCTTCCTTTTCCGAACTGAACTCTGTAATTCTTACCGAGCTGATACTCATGCTGGCAGTGGTTTGGCTGTCTGGGGAGGGGCTGCTTGCAGTGGCCGTCCCAGACGAGGCCGGAGTTGGCAACGCGATGAGCTGGATGCCCTGCGATAGGACCGGCTGCTTCTGGAGGTCATTGAGAAGCTGAAGTTGGGCCTGAGGCGTCAGCTGGTTGAACAGGGAGTACTGGGAAAGCTGCTGTTCCAGTGTTAATGTCTCTGTTTGCATTACCTAGACAAAAGTTAACACATGCATTACAGCGCTTTCCCTCAAGCAGCATCGCTGGGATGAAAGACAGAAACACAGTAAAGCCCAAAGACACTTTGGATTTCTGCTAAAGAGTCTTACCTGTGTAATATTAACGGGTGAGGAGAGCGTGGGCGAGAGCTGCTGGGGGGACTGCTGTAGGTGGAGTTCTGAGGTGAGGGTGAGCGGCACCACCGGAGGCTGCCTGCGCTGCACCGTTACAGTCATGGAAGGCTGAGAGGTTGTAGTGATCCCTGGAAATACAGTCACAGCAATCACCATGGTGGAAAACATCCACCAACAACATCAACCACTTTAATAAAGCACACAAATTCATTAGAGCATGCAAGCCTACTGATTAAAACAATGTGGTATAGAGAAGAATGCTCATTTATACCCAGCCTAACCACTATTCATTTATATAAACAGGTGATCAAATCCATTCAGCCTCTAGATGACCAGAGGTTTTATCTACAAACCAAGATTTGTTTAAAATAGCAGAATAACTGCTTTACACCTACTTCTGTAGATTGCTTTGAAGCTCAACTTTTATAACAAGCAGTCCATGTATCATATAAAAACACATTTATTTACTTGTGTAATGTGTCCAAAACAAGCAGTATCCACATCTGAGGCATTTGCCCCACAAAGCAGAGAGGATAGAAAACACACAAACGAGGTGGAAAAAAACTATAAAGAAGAGCTTGCAATTAGGCCGTAAGCAGCAGAGTCATACCATGACTCAGATCAAGTTACAAGATGTAGTGAGTAACTATTGTTGTCTGTAGGAAACACTTATCAGCTCTGAGACGAAGAGACTGCAGAAAGCAATGAGAGGCAGCCAGCAGCAAACTCTAGACTTGTATCAATGCAGAAAGCGTTTCCACTTAAGGAAATTGGCAACATTCTTAAGAGATCCACATGCCAATATAGGGACACCAAAAACTGTTCTAGAATAACCTGGATTGTATTTTAGCTCTTTCAGGCATAAAAGATCCATTTCCTTTTTGAAAATAAAACTTTCCCGTTAAAACATTTTGCACATCTTGATTTAGAGGATCAACAAAGTTGCTCTTTCGAAAACAGAACTCAAGCAGCAGGATATTGCTTTCTTAATGGATATATTTTTCTCTTTTTTTTTTTTTGGTCGTCTTCCTCAACCTTTGGTACATAAATGATTCAGTTACCATGACTTGCAGCGCTGATGCCCAGATGGGTGAGGTTGGTGGTGAGGCTGGCCGTGCTGTTGCCTGAGCTGACTGAGGGGAAGGACACGGTGTCCTCAGGGTCAAGTGGGGTGGACAGCGGGGGAGGGAACTGGATGTTAGTCAGGTCCGGCAAGGAACCACCTGTATTGTGTGCAGCTGGGACCACAGATGGGCTTAACTCCTGGTCTGGCGATGGGAATATGCTTTTAATAAAAACAAGGCCTCAAATTAGTGATTAGAAACATGAAAAAGCGAAAAAAGAAAAATTATTAAACATTTTTTGGATAACTTTACTAATTTATATGCTGATGTGTGCATCAACTATGACCTTGTTCTGATATTAACAAATTACATGCATGCATTTAACATCAGCCATATCAAAAATCTAATCTTCAGATTTTTGAGGATTGGATTTCTTCCCCAATTTTTTCACTTTAGTCTGTAGGAAACTTTAGACGGGGAAAAATGAAAACAAATCTAAAATATTAAACAACCAAAGAAATGTTAATATAACTTGCATGAATCAAATTCTAAATTGCATCTATGCCAGATTTCTTTTTACTGAACCCCTCTAGAAACACAATCTATTTGGAAATATAAATTACATGCTTAGATATACAATCCTTATATTTCGAAAAGTGTTGTCCAACAAGAAAACTAATTCCATCTAAATGGCTGATAATAGTCATTAAAAGATGGAATTGGACATTCCATCTTTTAAGCAGAAGCAGAACATCCAACAAAATGTAATGCTTGTATGACTGGCACAGATAGGTAGTTTAAAAAGCAGATAAATAGTGATCAATCTAATAATGAAATGACCATCAACTAATTAAGTTAGTGAGTAATTGATAAGTGGCTAGATAGGCTTTAAACTGGGGTCTTCAACGCTTTCGAGGCCAAAGAACCCCAATCTGATGGCGAGATGGAGCGGGGACTCCCTAATTATATATCCCTTTAATATATATATATATACATTGTCTGAAATTGTGTTATATCAAACTGGTCCTATAGTCACTCTATTAAAGATGAAGTAATGAAACAAAAGTAATTTCACCCTGAGATTATTAAAGTATTTCTGATTCCTGGTTGATGGGACAGGTGTTGTGAATGAAATGGTGCCCAGCTTTAAAGAGCTCCTGTGTGTCGCTGAATGTGTGCATTGATGACTGGAAGACATCTGCTTCCAATTATCTGTTTACTACAGTGTGTTGAAATCATGTTAACGTGTATTTAAAGACATTTCAATTAGTGGAAAAAAATGCATGGGGAATCGAAAAAAAAACAAACAGTCTTATCAACCAAAACTTTCGCCCCCATGCAGCACCTCCATTGACCCCGTAGGGGTTGCAGACCCCCTGTTGAAGACCTCCGCTTTAAAACATGAGTTATGTGGAAATAAAGTGCGGAAATTAAACTACTGCACAATAAACATATACATTAGAAATGTCAAAGGCTAAAATTTATATACGGCTAAAAACCTTTACAGGCACAGTGTTAGATTTCCCTTGCTCTAGCTCTGTGAAAAAAAAAAAAAGAAAATCTCTAATAAAGCACTTTGTACTTTCCATTATTAACTAATCAAAATTATCATTAACTGATAAATTGAAAGAAATCATTAGCTGTAGCCCTAACTGCAGACTTTTTCCACAAAGAAAAGAATGCAGCTCAGTACAAACAAACGTTATAGTATTATACTGGGAATTTATTATCAAAAGGTATGTATTAAATTAAGTATACTTCTCCTGCATTTTTGTAACTTTTGCATTAACTGATGGACTCTTTTACCAGCCTTTCACTTCCAATAATACTCACTTGATCCCGGGGACATCACACGCATTAGGCTGTGAGGCATCATCCTAATGCAAAAAAAAAAAAAAACAAAGCAAAAGAGAAAAAGAGAAAAAAAAGGTTAAAATGAGCCATGATTTATGCATCACCCGAGAGCACTGTGCAGCCCGCCTCTGTCCCACTGATACCTTCTTCTCATCCCACAGCTGTTCCTGTGCATCCTTGTCTGCATCCGACTCTGAATTTTCCGTCCCAGGCACAGTGAGCAGCAGCACTATCAAACAAGCCACGACATATTGGTTTTATTTTGACAATATCCAAACTGAGAAAGCAATACTGAAGGATATTATTCATCAATATCTGCAGCCATCATGCAGAAAATAGCACTGCGGTGCACCAGATTCCCACATTTCTAAAAATAGCAAAGGTGACCACCAGACGCTGAATGAGGCCAGCTAATATTGGCTTCACTGTATCTGAGCTTTACAGATAAAAAGTAATGATCAATAAAGAATCAGTTAATGATTGCTCTGTAGGCTGTCCTGAATCAACTTCATTCAGAAATTTCAACAAGCCAGCCGAGTAGAAGACCTCCAAACAAAATCACCTCTGAAGTTCAGCATTTCCACTATAAATATTTCACTATGAGGATAGACCTGCCTCTCTCTGACACAAAGTCTTTTGTGTCTTCTGAGGTTTGCAGCTTGGATAGCACGTTGCACATGAATAAATGAAAGCCTCTCTGTGTCTTTGACACCGGATCCTCCCTCACCTCGTTTGGGCTGCAGCTCCTGTGATCCTCCTGAAAACACTTCCTGGGGCTTCGGATTCATGGCGCTCTGGTGTAAGGCAGAGTCTGAATTCGTCCTTAATGTGTAAAAAATAAAAAAATAAATAAGCAGAGTCCCAGCCAAAGAGGGCCAACTTCTATTCCCACTACTGTATTTGCTCGATCGAAGAGCCTTTGCAGTGACAAGTAGGAATATTTGTACTGACTAAAAAGCCTTAGAAATCTCTGAATTATTATTTGAAAGAGAACACCTTCTGATGGGATATTTTTCACAAATACACAAGCAAAGAGGCTTACCTTCTCCAGCTTGTGTCTGGCGGTGGTGAAAGGTAAACTGAACTGTAGGGACAGCTGTCAATGTAAATCTAGTCAAGGTTAATAATTATTAGAAGTAAAAAAAGACTTAGTCACACATAAGCTTTACTTCATCCCTTTGTGTTAACAGGCATAAAACAAGATCCATAACAAGTCCTATGAGGAGATCCTATTTCTAAACTAACAGTGGAAACTATTTGTGAGGAGAACTCGGTTATGGGCCGCATACCAACATGCTGCATTGGTATTCTCAATTTGACAGATGGTTGTCAGCGCATCTATAAAGGAAAAAAAATTATTTCATCAATGACCTTCATATCATCATATTAAAGTGCTTTTTGAATACAGAAATGTCGCCCTCTAGAACCAGGGCTCCCTATGCATCAATGCTGCATGGCATGGAAGAACTTCAGCCTGTAACAACGCTCAGGTGCAGAGGAAGCCCTGGCTGCTGGATTGAAGATGTGCGGCCTAAACCTTGCAAACTTTAAGGAGCATTTTTTGGGAGGTATTTCCAAAGCAATATTTTGTTAAAATCCTCATGCAAGCTGCAGAGAAACATTCACAAAAGCAACCATCCTCATCTATTACCTCAACAAGTCTCCATACTGAACAGCTGCTCCTGCCGTCTTTGCTTGGCATTATGTCACACTTGAAATCAAGATTTCACAAATATTACAGGTGTACTACTTCTTGCAGAGGTGAATTAGAGAAACAATATTTTATGGGGGTCAATTTGAAACCATACTCTCAAATTTCAGTTGATAAACAGACATGGATAAAAAAAACTAAAGGCTGATCTGAGAAGGGTTGTATAAATCTCAGACTTCTCCTCAAGCAATCTGGATTGTGTGCCTCTTAACTTTTTCTCCAGATTCTGGGGTCTTTCCAGTAATATGCTTGGATAAATCACTCTGAAAATCCAGTGGCACAGCGCTTTTTGGCATATCCTCCTTGTGGAGGAGGTCATTGGCTGCTTGCTAGAAAACTGTCAAATCGTGACAACATTTCTGTATTTAATTATTGGGCTCATATAAATTGGTCTCAATTTCTGAGAAAATCATTTTTTGGCTCTTGTCAACTCTAAACCATGTTAAAGAAAAACCAAAAGTGAAGGATTACAACATATTAAACTTCATGTAATACATCTCACTTGAATTACACTTTTTGGATAGAATTATTAAACCAAATGGACATGTTTATATTTAATTTTTTTCAGGTGTACCTCTGAGGGATAGTAAACCTACCAAAACATGTTAAATGAAGCAGAAAAAGAAGCAGATTAATCAGCAACGTCACTTGGAAGGGATCAAACACTGAAGATCAAAATTTCTCTTGAATTTTTAGGGACTGTATGATCTGGTAAAGTGCCGTGAGATGACGTGTTGTGAATTGGCGCTATATAAAAAAACTGAATTGAATTAATATTTAAATGGGAGGCAGATCTTCTAATTATCGGTGTCCCCTGCTGTGGAGCCAAAACCAGTGTTAGTCAGTGAGGTAGATATCCTGTGTACTTTTAAGGCTAGGCTTCAAACTTTCCTCTTGATAAAGCTTATAGTTTGACTGGCTCAGGTTATCCAGTGCTATCTCTATAGTTATGCTGTTATAGGCTTCGACTGCTGGAGGGCATAGGGACCCCTTTTCATCATTCTATCTCTATTCATCCACTCTGCAGAATTTTTTAGTTCAACACCTACTCTCTCTGATTTTCTATTCAAGGTAGCTTAATTTGGTCTGTTCCTGTTTGGCTTTGACACCATCCTAGAGGGAAATATCAGCTGGGCTTAAGTTACAGGTGATAGAGTTGGGCCTGTTTTTCAGTGCTTAGTCCTGTTTCTCCAATTGACATAGCTATGGGCTCTGCTTTCACTTAGATGAACTGTATGTGCTCTCTTTCATCCCTTTGACATGAAAACTGGTTCAGAGCTAGTCTCCCTACTGGTTTCCTTTCCAGAGAGAGCCACTTATGGAGCTAGTTTACGGTTACCTTTTATAACATAGAAATTATTTATGGATCATTGCTTCTATGTTCCTCTTGTATGTCTGCTTATAGATCCTTGATTATGCCTAATACAGAATCTTCTTCTTCTGGTGGTTTCTTACTGTTAAAATGGAGTTTTTACGCTTGATGTGAGGAATTGCTATAGAGTCAACAACACAAGGCAAGCAAATATCTACTGTAGCCACATGCCCAACCAGAAGGAGCATATCCTGCAATGTAAATGACTCGATGCAATCAGCCAGTTTTCTGTAGACATAATAACCAACCTGACTGCATGATCTGATTGAATTATTTCTGTAATGAGCCTTGACATGACATGTTTCGGGAATTGGCAGCATATGAATAAACTGAATTGAACTAGTAAATGAGATGGGCTAAAAAGCAGACAAAGGATGTGCCAGCAAAAGGTGATCAGATCACCACATTTGACAGTATAGCAAAAAGGATATTTGTCGACTGTGTTTATCGACTGACAGCGGGCGACGGTGAGGAGATGAGATGCGGTTTCGATCTCGGTATACACGGTCCACAAGTCCATGGTGCCTGCTTGTCCGACTGGTGTCCAGCACAGAGTTCTAAGGTGGACATACGAGTTAAATGAGGTGAGAAGAGTAACTATGAACAGAGTAAATCCTTGCCTTGGAATAAATGGTTCTAAAAATGTTCACTTCAAGATGGGTTAAGCCAAGTTGGCAAATGTAATTAAAGATGGGAAGCCATGACAAGCAATGGTACACTTTAAATTTTAATAGCCAATTCTCTATACTGGGACAGAAAAAAAAAAAAAAAAGAAAAACTTGTAGAAAAGCTCTTCTCCTTCAACTTGAGGTATGATGAAACCTGGTGGAGGATGCAGCTCTAACCAACAATCTCACAGCTGTCGCAGCCAGAGAAAAGCCAGCAGACTCTTTTCTTCTCTTTAAAAGAGATCATCTGTACAGAAATAATTTTTTCAACAAATCTGAAACAAACAGCTAAAACCTGTATGTGTCCAACATTCACCAACAGCTGAGAAAGGTACACTGATCTAGAAGAAAACCATTGCTGAGAGAGGCTAAAGGCTCACCTGAAAAGGCAGGTCAATGTTGCCATTCCCAATCTGATTGACATTGGGCAGTGAGCCTCCATAGTACTGTCCACGATTCTGCCCTAGTTGCAAATACTGGGTCTTCTGTAACTGCAACTGTGCAAAGTAAAATTGCATGAAAGCATGAGTGAATGACTGATCTGATTCACAAACAAAAAGAGATGCTAAAAATGGATGACACATGCAGGTCTACTGTGGTTATATGCAAGATTAATGAGGTCGGAGGATTTTTTTAATGAAATGTGTAACAAGATGAAACAGGCAAAACATGGCTTTTTCATAAACAACCGACGAGCAGACCCGATGAGCTCACAACAAAACTAGCTGATTTGATTGACACCAGACTGACAGCGCATGTTATCAGTTGTATATTTTCCACTTGCATATAACAGTAATAAAAAAAAGAATCATGTGTGCTATTACAAAAACAATAAAAATTCGACAAAACACTGACACCTCATACACCCAGAGAAACTGAGTCAGATGATCAGACGTAATACAGTAAAATAAAATCTGAATGGCAACACAAGGGAATCAGACCATAAACTGAAGAGGATTTTTTTTCCCCTTGTAAATATCGTATATAGCTTAGGGTTAGACACACATATCATAATAGATGTGCTTCATTTCCAGCAAATAGAAAAATATCCCAAACACTTCCTGGCATCTCTGTGGCTTGAAGAAATGAGTCAATTTATTCATCTAATATATGGTGGTGGAGCTTCCTGGATGATTAACTCATCATTCGGGGAAAAGAGAAACAAAGCAGCTGCTGCTCATGCTGGATGTCCTCGGCCCTTTCTGCCTGCGCTTCTGCCTTCCTACTCTGATAAAAAGGACTTTTTGTGTCTGTCAGATGATCTTCATTTCTAAGACATCCTCTGGCTAATAGTAACTACAGAGGAAGGGAGTAGTATGAAAGGAAGTCAGCGCAGTTTACATTAATGTTTTTATGCTGCCTCTGTTTAAGATTTCTTTTTTTATTATTCTAAGGGGGGGTATTAATTGCAAATGTTAAAAATCAAAATCTCTTAATAGACTTAATTCTTTACTGGCAACTCCAAGGTCTGGTTTACATTATGGCCTGACCTTTCTGTTCTAATTCCAATAATTATGCTGCCCCCCCACCACAGGGACCTACATACACACTCAATTGGATAACCTTTCCTTTAGAGAAACAATTAAGCAAAGCAACTAAAAATAAATAGAAAAAAAACACACCTGGAGTTTTTTGATAAGGGTATTAGTTTTAAAATGAATAAAAAAAATAAAAGACTTGGCAGCTTTCCACCATGCATCAATAAATATGTATTGCCCTTTATCTGACTTTTTCAGACAGCCAATTAGCTAAACATCAAGTATTTCATAGGACGTGTACACTAACAATCGTGAAAACAAGAACAAATGCAATATGAATAAGAACACATTCTCAAATACTGTTACAAAATTAGATCTGTAACACAATTAAAACAATTCATCTCAAGCCTTTAGGAAAATCATCGACTTGAGGGCTTTGTATCTTTTTTTAATTTTAGCACCAGACCTGTTGATTTTGAGGGAAAACAAAGCACAGAGTGGGCACTGAAATGCACTTGTTTTTATCTGAAATCCAAGATGTTCAACGAGTTAGAACAGTTATTTTAAAAAGATATTCACAAACTTTTACTGATTTATGTGTATAGATTAGAAATGTTCCATGTTTTGTGCACACAGGGGGGGGGGGGGGGGGGGGGGGGGGGGGGGGGGGCTGTCCATGTTTAGGATGTGCCTCTGCTCCAGTACACCTGACTGGATTGATTAGATTGGCTCCTGAACATGCAATGAGGAGGGAAGTAGATCATCCATGCTTTTATGTCAGGTGTATGGCAGCCGAATTCAATACCTACAAATTGCGGGACCATTGGGCCCCAGTGGAGGAAGGCTGAGAAACACTCACATAAACGATGACACGTGCATGGGACTTATATTCAATTATCATCTGAAACTTATTCTAATGCGATCCTATGCAGGATTTGAGCCAGTCTGAAATAACTGTTGTAGTCAATGGTGTGCTCTTAGGGGCCCCATCACTGACAGCTGGTAGGCCCCCTATGCAATTCTAGACTCGGACGTCTCTTTGCAGATGTAATGGTGCAAAAAATTCCTCTTAAACCCACCTGATACTGAAGTGACTGACCGTACCGGACCGTATTTATACCGCAACACATTCCAGATTTCAACATGATGGTGAGCCGTTTAAACACGACACCAATAGCAAAGCAGACACTGGTACTTTTAATTACTATGTAAATAACTGTGTATAGTTCATTAGACGGTAGGTAAAAAATACATTCATATAATATGTTTCAAACCGCAATAAAGATCTTAAAAGAACGATTTATTTGAGTATTTTAGTTTTTACACTACGACTTGGAATTATGGGTAACCCAGAGCGTAGATTAAAACCATAACCGTTACGTACAATGTGTTATTGACGACGGATACCAAAAAAAGGTAGTTAAGAAGATTCCAGAAAAGAAAAGGGAAAGAAGAGCAGCTGGAAGAACAGAAAAAAACTTCCCAAAATAAACATGTTCTTTCAAAGAACCGAAGAGGGAGAAGCGGACATTGCTGCTACAGTAAGTAAAGATTGCGACCAGGAGATGAATGGTGAGAGCGTGGGTGAGGAGGGGGGCTGTGAAGACTATGCAAGGTGGTGTTTTTTTAATACGTGTTAGAGCGTGCAGGCAGTGCAATAATTCATGCATCATGTGTAGATTAGAACTACTGCGATTGCGCAGGAACAACAAGAAAGTGCGGGATGTGTGTATTTATGGGGCACATTTGTAGCCGGTTGTCTACGGCGGGGGGTCGATAAGCATCTCCCTGAAATTAGTTTTTGGAACTTTGGATGTCTATAACATTTGGTGGTGCGCTTTCACCAATGGTTTTATTTTTCCGTGTGTGATGTGTGATCATATACTACTGAGAATTGCAGAATTTTATCTTCTTGGCCAATATTTGGAACTGTCGACATATCCTGAACCAATGGCGAAACGACACCACAATAAAAGCAAGTAACATTATCTGGGTGGGCCCCATATGAAGTACACCACCATACCCCCCACCGCCGTAGACAACCGACCCAAAATGTGCCCCATACATACACACTTCATCATTCTTCACCTTCACTAGACATGGATATACTTTAGTATATTCTGCTGTAAAATAAGTCTTATTGCGCTATCTTGAGTTTCACGCAACGTCCACCATTCCCACTTTGGTTCTTTGAAAGAACGTGTTACTTTTGGGAAGATTTTTCTGTTCCCCCAGCAGCTCTTTTCCTTTTTCTTTTCTGAAATGCACTTAAGTCCCTCTTTTTGGTATCCATCGTCGCTAACACATTGTACGTAGCGGTTGTGGTTATAATCTACGCTATTGGTGTCGTGTTTAAACAGCTCACCATCATGTTGAAATCTGGCATTTTTGCGGTATAAATAAGGTCCGGTCAGTAAAACTAGTATCAGGTGGGTTTCAGAGGAATTTTACGCACCATTACATCTGCAAAGAGACATCCTAGTCCACAGTTGCGAAGGGGGCCTACTAGGTGTCAGTGAAGGGGCACCAAAGAGGTCGGGGGCCCCTGAGCAACCGAAGTCTCTGCTTACCAAAATTTACGCCATTGTCTTGTACCTTTTTTAATGTGTTGCACTTCATGGGGGCCATCCAGATAATATTGCTTACAAGCCTATTTTTGTATCGTTATGCCATTTTTAAAAAATGCAGCATATCAATTTTTTCTGGATGGATGGAATTGAAATTGTACTTCTAGTGATGCATGATATATAGATTTTGGCATCGAAATCGGCTGTTATTCATTATTCTTTTATACATTAATGTTTTTGGGCTATATATATATATATATATATATATATATATATATATATATATATAATGCATATATCTAACTATATAGCAGTGTATTTTGGTTCTCTTTTGTTCTCAACAATCGGAAAAGATTAAATAAATATATGTTTGAGCTCATTTTTGGAAAATACAAAAACCTGCCCCCACCAACTTTCATGGCAAAGCTACACCCTTGGTTTATTGTGCCTTAAACTTTGTTTGTTTGGAATAAACGTGCCACGGTGGAGACAGCTGAGGTGGGGGCGGGAGGGAATCCACGTCCATTGACTCTGATTGGTTAACAGGGGATGCTTTAGCCCTGTCAGAGATCCCACACGCGTTTCCTCCAGTTTAATTTCCCTGCCAACAACCTTAACATGTTATGATGCGGCGATATGTACGCATGAAAGCTAACGACCCATTTTTATTTATGGACGTCTCACAACATAAACCCTATGGAACAGGTGCACACTACAGCGCGGGTGCTAGCTGAGCAAAAATAACGGTGCACTTCACGGGAATGTTTTATCGATGGGAAAGAAAAATATAGCATGTGTCAACAGACATGGAAGTGAATGTCAACTACAGCTGAATGTTTCGGCTAAGAACGAAAGCGTGGAGCTTACCCAAACAGAGAGCAGTCTGTCAAAAAATATCACCGCAGTGAACGTTAACTGCCAAAAAACAGCGATGCAACAAACTGGGAGCAGCCGGTCTGTTTGTGTGAGGGGGGGTAGGGGTGGGGGGGTCTTACCCGCGCGGCTCTGGTGATGTTCAGGTCCTTCATCACTTCTTCAAACGCGGCGGTCTCCTCCGCTTGCTTCTGATTATGCAAAGCGATTTTTTCGCTAAATTTGCGGGGATTGTTAGAGGACGCCATCTTTCCCTCTTCTTCTCAATGGAATGTTACGCTACGCACGACGCCGGGGCCTTGTGCTGACGTCACGACGCACGGAGGACGCGCTTATTGATGGTGCCGCTCTCTGCATAGTCTGGGAGGCAGGCCGAGTTTGAGTTAAAATAAGACTCACCACAGGGGGAATTGTGTGCCCTAGATGTTTGTTATTAATAGTAACATAAGGAAAAACATAAATATGGATACTTAAAGAAATACAATCAGATCCCAGAAAATTGACCTGGTGCAAACTGACCATTTCCTTGATAAATGAAATCTAGAAATAAACATTTCATCAGGCTGCAGTTAAGTATTGGAATTGTGATAGACTAATAAAATGTTGCATATCATTAGGAACATAATGCATTTTCTTTGAATGTTTACAAATTAAAGTGGAGGGAAAAAATCTTTCAGAAATATTAATGCAGTTACCTTTATTCAAATGACCCTAAATCAAATTTAGTGCAACCAATTCCTGATCGAAGGTGCCTCAATACGTTGTAATTTAATCACAGTATGGATCCAGCCGCTGTGTTAGTGCTTCAGGGATTTGTTAGTGAAGACATGGATTACAGAAACATAGACATCAAATGGCTTTTTGATAACAAAGCTAGGAGAATTTAACAGGACAACTGTTGGCGACACACTTCAAAATGGCAGCATGAAGGAAGGTACCCCAAGATCAGAACTCACAAATTTGTCCAAAAATAATGGATAGACGTTTTCTTCAAACCCAGGTGAACTGGAGGAAATCATTCATGAAACAACAACAGGCAAGGTTCCATTTTTAAAACGATGCACCTTTAATAAAGATTGACATAAAGCCACATAAACGTGTACATTCCCCTTAGAGTACATCAGTTTTCACTGAATTGCACTTTGACATTATAATGTGCTTTGATTGGTACAGGTAGAACAAGACACACATGAAGGCAAGCAGACAGGAGACGAGTTTTTAAAAACATCCCTTCGCTAACATGAAGGTGTTCTAATTCAAAAGGCAAAACAAAAGGTTAACTAACTGTTAAACAAATACATTTATCCTCTCAATGGAGTCTTGTTTAAATATAGCTTTATTGTTGCAAGGGCTGCTCCAAAAAAAAAAAAAAAAAATATAGGAAACTCAGAACTTGTAGATATTAAACATATAGCTTTAGAATAGAAAAAAGATCCAGACTACACTGTATTACACACAAAAATGATGCATGTAGCTGCCGTAAGAGGTCTGCAGTTGAGACTATAACTAAGAAAAAACAAATTCAACATCAGAAAAATATTTGAGTTTAGAAAACAGATTAGAACATAGTCAAAACTAGGAAACCCAATACTTATAATAGTGCAGGTATCATTTGCTGATATGTAACTCGTTGATTAGAAAAGTTCAACTGCAACAGATTAAGAGATGAATTAAATGTTAAAAAAAAAAAAAATACTTTGCTACAATATAAAACCATACGTTTTAAATGCCGATTCAGTAAGGAATGTCTAATTGGATTAAATGACAAATCATTTATTTGTGCTTTTTGTAACTTAAGCCCTTGATTGGTACTTGATCACTATTAAAATGTAGTTATATTTTCATACCAAAAGCTGCTGTCTTTTAGAGAATACTATGCCATTTAGCTGGCCTGTGATAATACTTTTACAAATGACAAGCAGTCAACAAACCAGGTTTCTACACTTGTTTCATATCCACATCCCTGACTTTTCTGTGTTGTTGCCATTTTAAGATGTAAAATCCAAACACTCACCAAAACTATAGCAGATTTCTACAGAAGGAAGGAAGGATTCAAGGAAAGGAGGGAAGAACCATGGAGGAAATGCATGGATGAAAGCATCCAGAACAAAAGGGGGAGCAGAAAGAAACAGCAGAGAAGCAGCACCCAAGGAGTCAAGGAAAGACACAAGGAAAAATTGACAGGAAAGAAGGGATGAGAAAAACTATGGAAGAGAGGAAGGACAAAGGGAAGGAACAAAGGATAGATTAAAGGACAAAAAACATTTTGAAAAAGGAATAAAGAGTAAAGGCTTTAAAAAGATAGATTTGATCATAATCTTTATTATCCTTAATTTCTGTAAAATATAGCAATCAAATTTTACACTTTTATAGAACTGTCCTGTAAAAACTCAGCAATATTCATAACTGGATTATTCTTCAAGGATTCTTATAATTCTTCAGATTTAGAATCTATAGAATAAAACTTGATTATCAGCGAACATAACCATGAACTTTGATGCTCATATGAAAAAAAAAAAAACGGTTTAAAACATTTCTGTTAAAGGAAGACAAAAAAAACAAAAAAAAGATGTCCAAACCTTCACTTAAATTCCCAGGCGGTAGGAGGAGCATGCGGAACAATCTTCTTCACAGTTGCGATCAGGAGCTTAGTGTTGGGGGGTGTTCTGAGGGAGGATAATCGGCGCACAGGCGATGCCAGCGAACGATTCAGGAAAGTGCAGATCTCTTTCCCATTCATCCGTCTCTGTGTTGTACACCTGAACGATGCTTGTGACGTTATTCAGGTGCCAGTTATAGCCCCCTATGATGTAGATCTTTGTGTCCAGCAGGCAGCAGCCCGCCTCGGACTGTCCCGCTCTCATAGGACTGACGGTGGTCCACTGGTTGCTCTCCGGATTGTAATACTCCACTGCCAGCACGTCGAAACAGCGGTCCACATGATCCATGCGGCCACCCAGAGCGTAAACACGATGTTGGGTGCCGATCATGGCGTGCAACACTCTGGGCTCATGCATGGGGGCTTTAAAGTCCCATTGGTCTGACACTGGATCGTAGCAAAAGAGTGTTTTCTTGTCATCCAAAGAGACGCCGTAACCGCCAGAGATGTACAGCTTCTCTCTACACGAGGTCCCAGCGTGGCCCCAAATCTTCCGTTTTAACGGTTCCACGTAAGACCACTCGTTCTTTTTCGGGCAGTAACACTCCACGGAAGACAGACTGCCGGATCGATTACGTCCTCCGGTGGCGTACAGTTGTCCCTGCAGGACACTGAGCTGGAACTGGATGCGAGCCTCCTGCATGGACTGGATGCGTAGCCACTGATTGAGATGTGGGTCGTAGCGGAAACAGTTGTCCACTGCGCCCTCTCCGCTGCGGTACTGCAAGTGCTGCCCGCCCACGACATACACAAAGTTGTCAAGCACGGCGACGCAAGAGTGGCTGCATCCCGTCTCCATCTCTGTAAGCTCTTTGAACTGACGGGAGGCAGCGTCCGGAAGGTAGTAAGCCTTGGTGCTCACTGTGCGGTCGTTGTCGGTGTACGGAGTCCCCCCGAAGGTGATAAGGGAAAATACGTCACAGCGAATACGTGTCCGCGAGGACTGCATCTCGTGCTGTCGGAAGGGAAGAATCTGATAGTTGAAGGCCTCAAGGAGATATTGCCGGCATAAAACGTCCTCCACCATGATATCCACCGTCTGAACGCTGTCTACCAGTTCCGAGGAGAGCATGAGCGGAAAGCGAACATGACAGAGGACGCTGCTGGCCTGAGCTCGGCGGGACTCGTCATGCCGGAGCCACCTGATGGCAGCGTGGAAGAGGTCGATCTCTTTGCAGTTTTCCAGCTTGTTGCTCTGCAGGAAAAAGACGAGGCGCTCCATGGGAATGTGCAGGAAGTCATCCTCCTTGGCAATCTGGAGGAAGTGACGAAAGGTGAAGGCATCCACGGACTCTCTGAGGGAAGACAGGCTGAAGGTGGTGGCCATCTGCCCAATGTGAAGGCAGGTCTCCACGCTCATTGCAGACTTAAGGAACTCCTCACACAGCTCTACTACCGGAACCATCTGGAGAAACACGGCAGCACCCAGGACGTCCTGAATACAGTCCAGGTCTAAAGTTACATCTGAGCTGTAGGCAAAGTCGATGATATGTTTCAGCCCTCGGGCGGACAAACCCTTCAGCTCAATGGTGTCCTGGTTTGACTCCTTCATGCCTCCAGTAAACATAGCTCTGAAAGTAAGAGAAGCACAAGAAATAATTAATTACAGACGTTTTTTTCTGGAACTTTCTGATTTTTAAGGTGTGGTTTTTGAATTTTTCAAAACCTTTATTTTAAACCTATAATGCCAAATGTATCGTATTTGATACATACGGTTTCTGAAATGTTTTGCATCTGACACCTTTTGCATAATTTAATGGTAAAAACTTTGCTCAAAATCCTATTGTACACAATCAGATATACCTGATAACAGCCAGTAGAAGACTAAACAAAAAATAATCTTGACTTATCGCATAGTAATAAATTATTAATATCAAAAATGTATTTCTGTTTTTTCTTTTTACATATTTTGTTAAAAGGGCAAATAAGGAATTCAAACAAAAAAAAAAAGTAACTTTCTGTTTTGTTTTATTCTCGGGGCGGGCTTTAAAGGGTTAAGGAGACCTTAAGGGACCAACCAACACTGAGCTGGGCACAACAAGAAGTTAAGGATGCGCAATATTTTCTCATCAATAATGGTATCACCCAATCAGGAAAAAAAAAAATGTTCAATGCTCAAAAAAAAAAAAAAAAATCAGATTTAATTTTTAGGCAATATCGCAGAGCCCCAATTACGAGGAAGACTAAACACAACAGATGTATTAAAATATCCCAAGCTTTAAACTTCACACACAGGATATAGATTTATTCTATGTCATTTATCCTGAAAGGACGTGTAGCAGAGAAGCAGCAATGAGGTGAATAGTAACTCTGGAGGAGCTTCACACACCTACAGCTCGGGTGAAAATGTGTTAGTGGCGGAAACCTGGTTGTGCAAACCACAAACATGTTGTTTATGGTAGAGTGGGACAGCAATGATCAGTCCATAAACACACCATCCCCACAGTAATGAAGGATGGTAGCAGCATAATGCTGTTGGGATTTTTTTTTTCTCACAAAAAAAAAAAGAAGATGAATGGAGCCAAGAAAAGTTAATCCTGGAAGAAAATCAGAGACTGAGCCACAGGTTCTGCTTCCAAAAAAAAAAAAAAAAAAAACAGGGACCAACATCACACACTTAAGAGAAACATCTGGATGGTTTGGATGAAAAGTAAAGTATTTTATTTTAGCCCAGTTAAAGGTCAGGTCTAAGGCAGGTTTAAAAATCTGTCACACAGCTTAAAAAATGTGGACGGAAAAGATTATTAGCACAAAGTTTCAGGTTTTAGATGTGCAAAAATGGTGCAAAAATACTTTAATAGCTTAAGCTCCATTTACACTACCCTTTTGAAACTGTCCCGGGATCGGTCCGAGCATGGTAACCGATGTAACTGTTGAGTGTAAATGGCACGCACAACTGGACCGGACCGCGCTAAACTGGAGCTAGTTCATCAGTAGGGCTTGGCGCAGTTCAATTCTGGCTCGATTCTCAGATAACAAAGAGCGCATGAGCAGACTGCGTCATCTCCTTACAGTGAGCCTCTGTAGTGATGAAATTTCAGACATTCAGAAAAATACTAGCTTCCATACCCTGCCACACGATTCTGCTTAGCGGAGTGAGGAACCTCAACATCAACGTCGTTTCCTGCACCTGTAAGCCCTGATTAGACTATCTTTGTCGTGTCCACTTCCCAAAAGCCGACTCTGTCAAGCAAACTCACCAAAAGCTGCCTTCTTCACCTGACTCTCTACAAACAAGAAAATATCACAATTATAACCAAACTTCCTCAATATTACAGGCGGCGCCATGTTGATTTGCTTTTTTACCTCTAGAGAGCAGTAGTACCGTAGATCGCCACTAGGAGGCGAGGAACCGTGCTAGCGTAGTATGTAAGGTCGTAAGGAACCAAGCTGGGCATGGATAACTGATCCAAGCTCGGTTCAAACTCGGCACGGATCGGTTTTCAGAGGGTAGTGTAAATGGGGTAATAGACTCAGAAGAGCTGAATACAAATACAAGCCAGATTATTAAGAATTTTACTACTAAAGAATATTTAAAACTTTGCATCACATATTTACTCTGTGTTGGTACCATGAAATCTGGGTTAAAGAAAAAACTAAAACCATTGCCGTTTCCAGGTTTAACACAATAATGAAAGAAAAGGAGACATGAAACGTTCTGTGTTCAGTGTAAAAATCTTTTTCCAATAGTTTCCACTCAGCAGGTTCTCACTATATATAGAAAACACTACTTCAATAAACAGTTATTTTTACCCTCTACCTTTTTCCCTTGTGTTAGCTAAAAGCTTTTAAATGAAAATCCAAATGGTCCAGACTAACCTGAAATAATCGCTACAGGCGGCCAGCACTGCTTTATGGACCTGGAAGTGCTCCTCATTGACAGCCAGCACCACATCCAGGAGCTGACCCTGAGCCCGCAAAACCGACAAGCCCTGGAGGAGCGTGGCACTGTGGCTCGGGGCGGAGAAAGTGCAGCGCAGGGTGCTATTCTTGTTAGCCATACTAGAAAGAGAAATATGTCTTGTAACAATCAGTAAAGTAGCGTGCAGTTTATCCACCCACCCCCCACCCCTTAAAATGCAAAGCTAACATTTTCCTATGATGCATTTTAGCTGAATCCTTACATCTAGAAGCTGTAATCTGTTGCTAAAAACAGGCCAGTGTGTAGATAAGTCGTATCTAGTGACATTCTAATAGAAACTTAATATAATTTATTATTCATCTAGAGGGGAATGCATTTAGCGTAGTTCTACTGCATTAGTGAAAATGCATCTGAGCGTACAGGACAAAGACACTGTAAAGAGAGAGCTGTTTATCACTTTACCCACATTAAACCTCCAAACGCTAAAAGGAATTGGTGTGATAAGGAGAGGAGACGGTTTGTTGTTTGAGAAAACATTTAGATCATCGCCTCAGAGAAAAGAAAATGCATTAAGTACAGACAATTGTGTAGAAAAACATAGAGTGGTCCTAACTTTAAAACGATCTGTACCATAACCTAAAATTTAACCTCAAGGATTTATTTATTTTGATCCCATATCACCTACACTGACTGTGTATAACCCTCTATAGTTTGGGCACTCCTATTAATCTTAATTATTATTATTTCTAAATATCTTTTATTGGACTAACAGAAAATGTGTAATATGCATTAAAACAAAACTTGACAGGTGCAAAAATTTGCACACACAAAAAAAAACATTTTCTGTTAGACCAATAAACCTCAATTCAATACCAAAACATTAGTGTGTCAATCAGTTATCAGAAATATCAAACTGAAATAGCTGTTGCAAAGACCCAAATATTTAGAAATAAAAATAATTAAGATTAATAGGGGTGCACAAACTTTTTCATATGACTGTGCACACAAATTATATATATATATATATATATATATATATATATATATATATATATATATATATATATATATATACACTATATTGCCAAAAGTATTTGCTCACCCATCCAAATTATTGGAATCAGGTGTTCCAATCACTTCCATGGCCACAGGTGTATAAATTCAAGCACCTAGGCATGCAGACTGTTTTTACAAACATTTGTGAAAGAATGGGTCGCTCTCAGGAGCTCAGTGAATTCCAGCGTGGAACTGTGATAGGATGCCACCTGTGCAACAAATCCAGTCGTGAAATTTCCTCGCTCCTAAATATTCCACAGTCAACTGTCAGCTGTATTATAAGAAAATGGAAGTGTTTGGGAACGACAGCAACTCAGCCACGAAGTGGTAGGCCACGTAAACTGACGGAGCGGGGTCAGCGGATGCTGACGCGCATAGTGCGAAGAGGTCGCCAACTTTCTGCAGAGTCAATCACTACAGACCTCCAAACTTCATGTGGCCTTCAGATTAGCTCAAGAACAGTGCGCAGAGAGCTTCATGGAATGGGTTTCCATGGTCGAGCAGCTGCATCCAAGCCATACATCACCAAGTGCAATGCAAAGCGTCGGATGCGGTGGTGTAAAGCACGCCGCCACTGGACTCTAGAGCAGTGGAGACGCGTTCTCTGGAGTGACGAATCGCGCTTCTCCATCTGGCAATCTGATGGACGGGTCTGGGTTTGGCGGTTGCCAGGAGAACGGTACTTGTCTGACTGCATTGTGCCAAGTGTAAAGTTTGGTGGAGGGGGGATTATGGTGTGGGGTTGTTTTTCAGGAGCTGGGCTTGGCCCCTTAGTTCCAGTGAAAGGAACTCTGAATGCTTCAGCATACCAAGACATTTTGGACAATTCCATGCTCCCAACTTTGTGGGAACAGTTTGGAGCTGGCCCCTTCCTCTTCCAACATGACTGTGCACCAGTGCACAAAGCAAGGTCCATAAAGACATGGATGACAGAGTCTGGTGTGGATGAACTTGACTGGCCTGCACAGAGTCCTGACCTCAACCCGATAGAACACCTTTGGGATGAATTAGAGCGGAGACTGAGAGCCAGGCCTTCTCGTCCAACATCAGTGTGCGACCTCACAAATGCGCTTCTGGAAGAATGGTCAAAAATTCCCATAAACACACTCCTAAACCTTGTGGACAGCCTTCCCAGAAGAGTTGAAGCTGTTCTAGCTGCAAAGGGTGGACCGACGTCATATTGAACCCTATGGATTAGGAACGGGATGTCACTTAAGCTCATATGTGAGTCAAGGCAGGTGAGCAAATACTTTTGGCAATATAGTGTATATATATATATATATTAGGGTATTAGGGTTATATCAAAGAGTATTATTAAAAGTAAGCAACTAAGCCAAAAAGCTGTTTTTAAAGTTTTCCCCTTCTTCCATCTTTTTAGTTTCCTCTTAAAAGGGAAGTGCTTTATACTGCTTAGTTTGAGGTACTTGCCTTTTTTATTTATTTTTATTTATTTTTGCCTAATTGCTCAATTTACCTCAATGAAAAAAAAAAATATTTTTACTTTTAAAAGCGACTAGGGAAACTTTTATTGCATTTAATATTTACTCCTATTAACATTTGACAGATGCAATTCTCTAAAAAATATAACAATTTCTTAAAAAAAAAAAAAAAAACAGGTAATTTTGTTGTTTATACTTTGGTTTCTACATTCTTAAGATTTCTTATGAAATAAAAACTTACCTTTAATATAAATGTCAACCAACAATTAACTTTCCTAAATGAGGCGTTATTAAATGACCTTTTTTATTCTACCTGCCTGAACTATTAATTGTTTTCTCCATAAAGCTAAAGGCGAGCAGACTTAATGCCTGGAGGCCTCAACAACTCCTCGGTGTTTCCTGACCTGAATATGCCGCGTATTCACTCGTTTCAGGGCACCGTCAGTTCAGAGGCCGCGGGGGAGACAGCTTAGCACCGAAACCACACCGCTGACATCCAACACCATCGGGCGCAGCCCACTCACCTGCTCTCCGAGTGTTTCGGAATAAAATCGCCTCCGTCTGACTCCGCCATCTTCTAGCACATACCAACACGCATGGAACATTTTCAGGAATGTTATCAGGAAGTCATCTGCGCAACTGGATGATTCATTGTGTCTTTTTAATTTGCCTCTTTTTCTCGGAGTAGGAAAGAGTCTTTGCCGACAGAGCTTGAACTGTTGCCTGTCAAAGACTCCGGGGTTCAAACGGAGACGTCCTCCTTATTAGCTGCGGTGTAAAGCTGGAATTTCTACTGCACTGTCGTTATGTGACCACTAGAGGTCGACAGATTTACGCGCACCTTCTCGTGAAAATAAAACTTTTTTGTAGACTAAAACAGACATCGTTGTCATTTTATACGGAAGAGGATTAGGGCCACTGAAATAATAAAAAAAAGTTAAATGATTTTTAAATTTTAATTTTAGTATAATATGTGAAAAAAATATCTGAATTCTGACTTTAATCTCAGAATTCAGACTTTTCTCAAAATTTTGACTTTTTTCTCAGAATTCTGATTTTAATCTCAGAATTCTGCCTTTTTTTAATCAGAATTCTGACTTTAATCTCAATTCTGACTGAAGTCTGACAGCTAACATGTTAACATCAAGCCATAGCCATGTCTGTTTTGGAGACTAAACTAGCGCTCTTGTTTTAATCACCTTCTGCTCTTCCATTAATGAAATAGCATCACCGGGACCCCTCAGGCACGTAAAAAGTCGCCTAATTCTGTCATTTTCCGCCAAAGTGTTACTGGCTCTCCCAAACTACTCACATCTTTGTTAGTGAAGCTGAGTGCTCCCACATCTCTTCCTTTATGTTGCCCATCTACATTAAGATCCAAAATTCTGCCATCAAAGTCAGAATTCTGAGAAAAATACAGAATTCTGAGAAAAAATTTCAGAATTCTGACTTTTTTCCCATGTTAAACTGAAATAATATTTAAAAAATCAGTTAACTTTTTTTTCCCAGTGGCCCTAATCCTCTTCCATACATTTTGTACACACAGAATGTATACAAAAAGAAATTTGTTCAGTACAGCTCTCAAGAAATTTCCATTTTTAAAATGTAGCAGTGATTAAATGTAAACGTAAGACTGATATATGATTTACAGTTTTCAACATTCAGCCCCTTTTTTTTCTTTTTAAACCATCTTTTTATACAACATTTAGCAGTCTAATGGCAGTAGGGAAGAAGCTGTTCTGGAATCTGCTGGAACAGCATCGGATGCTTCGAAGACTCTTTTGCTGTTATTTGTTTGTTTGTTTTTTTGTTTTTGTTTTTTTTTTGTTTTTTAATTTCACTTAAAGACAACAAAAATATATAAAACATACAAATAAACAAACAAATAAACCAGGGGGCATGTCATAATAAACAAGTACACTCAGGAGGAAAGACAAACGAACTGATAAACACATGTGTTGAGGTGTGTCATATATATACGTATGTTTATATACACATATACATACATATAGGATATGTCACTAATATTGTGGATGGACTATTAGAGCAATATTAAATCATTTACCTGGAACAGAAGAGTATAAACACAATGGGAATGGGAATTATTAAAGGAACTAATAACTGTAGATCTATCATGTTCTATTATCTAATAATCATGCAAACATAATAAAAACTGAGAAATCTTACTGTTTTCGAGTAACAAGATAAGGAACAGGGACTTTGAAATTACTGAAACTTTAATTGTAATTGTACCAGCAAACACATGCAGACATAGCACCATGTACACAACATTAACCACACAGTTTATCATATACCCACGTCCTCCCTGTGGTCAAGACCTAAAAGTCTTTATCTTGATGTGGTGAACGATAAACCCTGCAGATAATTGACTTACAGTAGAAAATGACCCCAGCTGATTTCAGTCTTAAACCAAACAATCAGAGAAACCATTTCAAAGATGTGTTTTTCATTCATTTGCATGCGTGTCAGTGCAAGTGTGTCAGTGGTTGTTTCTGTGTAAATGACAGGACATATTGTAGTCTGAACAACACGGATCAAAAGCTCTGCCTCTTGTTATGACTAATCTGTATTTTTTAACCTCCTTTTTTTAAGGTCAAGTATTTTTTTTCTTTTGGTGTGGCCACTTCCTGTCATGTAGCTACTCTGAAACATGCCGCTGTTCGCATTTTGGATTTCTGAGCAGTCAGGTGTCTTTTTAGCTTTGATCTGCTGTGCGTAATTTTAAAAAGACCTTCAAAAAGCTACACTCTTAACCATTAGACTCAAAGTCTTGTTGCACATTGCTGTTGGATATCAAAATATGTGTGAAAGGGACTGTAGTGTTTAAGAGCAGATGAAATTACATTTCTAGAGTTTTTGCACGGATGCATCTGGAGGCTGTGTGAAATGTAATGGTATGATCTCTAGAAGTAAAGGAAAAAAACTGCATAAACATTTGGCAATGTAAAAAGAAGATACATTACATTTGTATTTGCCAGTATCAGGATAATAAACATAAGCGATAACTTATATGGCAAACAAGCAAAACGTTCAGTCTTTTAAAAAGCTAAAAATATCCATTGATATTGGAAAAGAAGAAGCAGTACTTAATTCTGTACAGTATTTGGTTCCTTAAAGATTTCATAGTTAGTTTAACATAAATGACTTAAAGAAAGTACATGCAAAGAAAAAAAAAGAAATATAAATGTTTTTAAATAAAAAAAAAAAAGAACATTTGCATAAACAGTTTAATTCATAAAAGTAAACATTTGTCAGCAACCAGGGTCAATGCTTTGCACAGCGTGCCGTTATGGTGAAACCAGTTAAAGTGATTCTGATTTGACATCAAACACCAAACCATTCCTGTAGATCAGCATGGCCAGCTCAGATTCCACCTGTTCCATGTCCTTCAGCTCTGCTGTCCTCACAGTCTCATCAGCTGAGGTTAGACTGGTCCGCTCATCATCAGATCCTCCTGAGCAACCCTCCTCTGCCTCCTCCTTCTGCTCTGCTCCATCATCCCATTCATCCTCCAGGACCGTCGCCTGCTTTGAAACGGGACTCGTCTCCGGGTCGATCGGGTGCAGCGAGAGGTTATCTACTTCCTCTTTTCTCTCCCATATCTCCTGTTATTGGGTCACATCAGAACAGGGTCAAACTTCTGGGGCACAGAGGAGCAACCGCAAATTCTGGCTTTCAAAGATGTAGAGTGTGACAGTAAATCAGGTTCAGTGTTTTTTTTTTTTTAAGCAGTGAAAAGGAGACTTTCTTTTTTCCTAAACATTTTTTTGCACTTGTTTTTTTTTTCTTAGTCTACAGTGAGGACTGCTATATTTAGCGACACAAAAATAGAACTTATGTTAATTTTTTTAAATACTTATATGCTAGGAAGTGTAAAAACAAAAGAAAGGAAAATAGTTGGATTGTTTAGGAGCTGTCAAAGAAAAAACAATTAAAAGGGTAACATCCGTTTCAGAATGGTAATTAACATTTAAATATATACATTTGACATTTAGAGAAAATTATTTTATTTAAATTGAACATTTCTTCTTTAAGTCTTTTACAGATATATTTTTTTTACAGTTTTATGATAAATAACTCAGTTTATGACATTATTGTATATCAGAATGCTAACTTTTTTGGTTTGTTTGAGGAAAAAAAAAACACAGATGATCCCCACTTGACCAACTGCTCTGTTTCCATGCCAACTGTAAAATGGTCCTCAACTATATTCGTAGTTTTGGTTTGTGGGGAAATTAGAGGTTTGAGGCTCTTTCACATCATCTTTCTACATGTTAGTTGGGGACTTTCCTTCAGTTTCTTTTGAATTCAGTCTGCTCATTAAAATAAAATGACTTAAAAATGATTGAATGGACTCAAAGTATAAAAAAACAATGAACCCTCAAGGTAAAGATGTACCTTACATTTTAAATATAGACATTTTAGTGTTAGATATCATATAAAAATGTCATTAATGAGATAAACACCACCTCTCACCTGATTCTCTGGTTGACAGGGACTGAACTCTGGTATCACAGGTTTTGGCACAGGAGGGAAGACCTTATTTTTTATTCTTGAAGAAAAGAAAACAGAATAAAAAGTTAACATGAAAGCAATTTGTGCAACCTGAGATATTTTTGGAGTCATCTGGCAAACGGACGACATAAACAGGATCAGATTCCAACATAAATAAATAAGGACTTGTCAATATCTGTTTATGATCATATTTTACGTTGGTGTTGGGTAAACACTGTTCATAACACCTTATCTAATAACTGTCAATGGATTTAAAAACCTTTTTTTTTTACATAAGGAAAAAGGAATTTATGAAAATATTAGTGTTTTGTGTTTCCACTGCTCTAAAAGGCTGTGAAAATTAATTGAAATTAAAAACCTAGTAGGTAGAATGATTTTATAAAGAAAACTTCACTGCACCTCCAGTCTGAAAAAAAAAATTGGCTTGAGAATGATTGTAATTTATTTGAAGATTTGAAAGAAAAAAACAAAGAAATATAACAAATAAATGACTTTTGCTCAGATGTTGCTAATATATGATAGTTATCTTTAAAAAACATAATAAATTATTAGACTGGGAGAAAAAAATTACTAAATATTAAGATTGCTTTGTACAAGTATGCAGTCATTTTTTATGTTTTGTCATAAAACATCACAAGTTTACAACTTTATTGGGTTTTAATGTGGCGGGCTGACACAAATTTAGTGCATTACTTAAAGAACAATTTGACATGGTTTTCCAACATTTCTGCAAAAAACAATCTTAAAAGCTTTGGCATATATTCTGTCCCCACAACTGTTATACTTTTGCAATTGCCTTTCAATAGACATTTTACTAGAAAATAGATTCGGTTTGTGTGAGGTTTAATCTCAGTATAAATTCAGCTCTCCGGTTTTGACCTCAGAGGTTTGTTATTAAACTTTAAAAAACAAACACAATCATGAACACAATAGAATACAGCCGATAGGCAGTGGTGGACAAAATACTTGAGTAAAAGTACTGATACGCATAGTAAAATCTTACTCAGTTAAAAGTAACTTAAAGTAAAGTTACTCAGTCAAACATCTACTCAAGTTAAAGTATTAAAGTACTCATTTTGAAAATACTTAAGTATTCAAAAGTAATAGGTATTCAAAAATGCAAATTGCATTTTCAAATATCAGTACATTTCTGTATAATTTTCAGAGTTATATAAAGAACCTTGTAACTTTCAGAAACCACCTGATCTATTGATGTGTAGAACAACCTGCTACAGATTCTACACAACCTTTAAAGAACTTGAGCATAAAAATGCCCATAAAAATCCCAAAGGACAGCTATTTTGATTATAAATTCAAATTTAGACACAAACCAAAAAGAAAACAGGAGTGTCTTGATTATCATCACACTTTCACTATTACCACAAAGAAACTACAACAACTTGGCCACATAGCAACGGCTAAAGCCTTAATGAAGTATATGAACTAGAGATAATATCTGCCTTGAGTTTCTCATATTAGTGGAATCTCATTAAACCTCTTAAACAGTGGTGTCCAAATTCAGTCCTAAAGGCTGCTATCTTGCATGTTGGAAATGCATTTCAAGTAAGAAAAACAGCAACAGCGGATTACAAAGCTAAACTGAGCCAAAAGGAACAAGAAACTAGCAGCTTCCTAAAAAAGGGAGTGGAGTAGAAAATAAAATATTTGACTCTGTAATGTAGTGGAGTAAAAGTTATAAGTACCCCCCTAAAAATATAGCCAGGTAAAGATACTTGAAAAAAGTACTTAAGTACAGTAAACACGTAAATGTACTTTGTTACTTTCCACCACTCCTGATAGATTAGGGAGAATGTGTTGGGTTATGAAACATTATACAGCATGGCAGTGCAAGTACCATGCTTTGCTTTTGGGGTTTGTTGCAGCATGGGTAAGTTGTTGAAGCTAAACCAATGAAGCTAAATATAGATCAATTCCCCTCAGCAAAAGACTTGAAGGTTTAGTAAGGGTGTTTAACCTTTCAGTAGGACAACAAGCTAAGGGCTTAAGAAATGGTTTAAATCAAGGGGCTGCAAACTTTCTACTCCAAAGAGCCATTTCTCCTGAGTCCACCTAAGTATAAGTTCTTTAGAGCCAATATCACATGACTTTTTGATAAAACACAATCGAAAAAATAATTAGATAAAACACAACCTATTATTTTTGGTAAATATCTGCCATAGGAAATCTGTGGCCATCTTAAAACAGCACAATTTATTTATTTATTTTTTTTTGTATTTTTAGCTTTTAAAATGAGGGAAAAAAACCCAAAGATTCATAAATATGAAACACAGATTTTTCCTCGATGGGATTTTATTTAATGAAAATAAATCACATAATTTCTCAGGTAATTAAAAGTAAAATGTCTCTGCTTCTTTTAATGTCATTCTGTTGTGAAAATCCAATTCAAATGTTCTTTATAAAAATTCCTAAAGCTTCTAAGACTTGTATTTGTTATTATAGTTCATTAGTTAGTACTTTATATAATTTTTAGCTAATATAAAGAGCCACCACAGAGTGCCCAAAAAGCCACATGGAACTACAGAACTGCAGGTTGCAGAGCCCTGGCTTCACTCAAAGCATATGCAAACAGTTATGTACCATTTTAAAGTTTTATTCAGATGTGACAAAGCATTCTGTGCTTCTGTATTGGTTTTTCTAATGAGTATGTTTAAAATAAAAGTTCCACTAACCTTTTCAAGATAGTGGTGCAAGCTATTGTGAAGAGGAAAAACCCAAAGAGCAATCCAAAACTTATCCACACTGTAAACAAAAAAAAGCAAAAAAGCAGATTAAGGAAAATGTTACTACAAAGAAATAAAGTTACATCAATCAATGACGCACCGCTGTGATTTTAAAGTATGAATATGTGAGAATGTTTTCTTAACTTGCAGGCCTCCTACCATTAAATGGCTTCTCTGGTAGGGTGGTAAAACTCTGCATAGCAACAGGCCCCACTCCTGCTTGTGTCACTCCTGCCAGGCTGACGTTGTATTTGGTTCCCGGGGTTAAATCTTTTAGATGGTGTTTTGTTGCTGATGCTGATATGTTGACGCACTCTGTTCAAATGAAATCAATTATAAGCAAACTTGTTTTGGATTTTCTTTTAAAAAATAAACAAAAATAAATAAGTGATTAGAGAAAACCCTGTCAATCCGACCTTGGGGCTCGTTCATTTTAACAGTGCATAATTTGTAGTGTGTCAAGATGCCATGAAGATGCTCATAGGGAATCTCTTTCCAGGACTGATCAGCAGAGTCTTGCATGTCAGAAGCAATCATGAAGTCTTGTGGTTCTTTGCTTGGCACTGAAATGGTAAAAAAAATAAAAGAATAAAACATTTTGTTCAGTGGCCTTTCATATTGTAGATTTCAAATGATAAAGAAAGGCAGTGAAATATAGTGTAATAGCAACAAAAAGCTTAAAATTAGTCAAGTGTTGCACTACAGAGCTCTATTAATAATTGATTAAAAAGGGTAATATTCACAGCAAAACTGGAAGAAAAAAATCATTTCCAAATAAGTTTTTTTGCATGAGCTTGATTCATAATTTTGCATGTATACAAAATATTGAGAACTTCCTATTAAGTGTCCTAGTGGTTAGGGCATAGAGCTTGGAATCCTGAGGTTCTGAGTTCGAGACCCACTCCCATAGACTGCCACTCTGGGTCCCTGAGCAAGACACTTAACCCCCACACTGCTCACTGCTCCCCAAGGCGATGGGTTAGATGCAGAGAGTAAATTTTGTTGCTCTGTGCTTGTGACAGTATAATGACAAGAAAATGCTGGATTGTTACCAAATTCTGGTGAAAATGTCATGTATGGGATAAATGGGATGGGTTAAATGCAGCGTTAAATGTCTCCAAAGGAATTGTGCATAGACAAAAATGCATTGCAATCAGAGTTTGTTGGTGTACCCTTTACTGTCTCATCATATTAACAATTACTGTAAAACACCAATGCAATGGTGCATGTTTAAATAAAAGCAGAAATTTCCAGCCTCCAGCCTTCACAGACGGAGGGCTTTTCTGCATTCCAAAAGGTCCTGGTTTTAAACGCCAGCCTGGTTGGCTACTGCAGCCTCCTCTCAAAGTCCAGCACATACTGTAGCTCTTATAAAAATGAACCTTTACAAATTGTACGCATGGCTCTCAGTTCAAGAGTTAATGTTTCTACAGGTGTGTTTCCATCAGCCTGTCTTTATGCATATTTTGAAGAATCGTACTAAAGGAGCTTAAAGGTAACGGCAACATTCCGATCAAGTTTTTACGCTTACATGAAGTGGTTTTTGACATTTTTGAAACAAAGTCAACGAGCATAAGAAGAACAACATAATAAGTGTATTGGTTCTGGTGAATATTTACCTCACATGGCAGGTCAGCTATTTCTGCTACCAGTGTCCCTATAGATTCCAATTTCTCTCTCTGCATCTCCTGATCGTGTGTAACATCACTAATACTCACTGACACAACACAACCTGCTTGATTGCAACAAAATCATTAAAACAGTCCATTACTGATCTGTGGTCCACCCTGTGCTACCTCTATTTCCTGTTTATCACAGTCAAGTGTAACATAAAAATATGGCGGTAAATGCACTTTTCATTGCCTGGTTAAATCCATCCAATGGTTGGAAACACGACTGATTCAAAATTTCTTTTTTTTTTTTCTTGACTGTTCTAACGTTTGCTCAAAATTTGAATGACATTTAGATGAAAACACAGCTAAAGTTGCCCTTAGATTGACTACAACTTAAAATTTAAATCTCCTGTAAAAAGTAGTTCTGGTCATTCCTTGTCAAGTCAAAGCCAGAAAGCATTTCTTTCATAGCTTGTAACAGATACACAAGCTCACATCCCCACACCATCCACCAAGCGCCGATGCTGTGCATTTAGCTGTGCTTTGTTTCGTAAAATGTATATTGGACTATCAGAAACAGGTTGCAAAAAGTATAGGCCTACCTTTTATAGGTCAATCTAAAATTGTTTACCAAAGAACAACAATCCTGGATGAGCACCTCTTACTTAACTATTGAATTAGAATAGGGGTGGACATTGTCAGCTCCTGAAGGCCGATATCCTGCAACTTTTATATTAATCCTGAATCAAATGGCTAAATTACCTCTTCAGTATGGAGTCATTTCTCAATCATCTAACTACTTCATTACTACTTCAAGTGTTTAACCAAAAGAAACATCTAAATGTTACAGGATGCTGGCCCTCAGGCCCACCCCTGAATTAGAAGGTACTTAGTTAGCCTGTAGTACTGTGTTTAAACAGACCTGTCCAGGTACCCATCATACAGTAGATTCCCCATGAATTCCAACTTTTAAGACAGAAAGCTTAGGGGGGAAAAAAACTAAATCTAAAAATAGGACCAAAGATAAGAAGGATTTTTACATGCAACCTGAAAATGATCCCAAATTATTCCAGGGAATCCAAAAACAACAGAGTAAAGAACTAAAAAGCCTTTGCCTCAGTTGAAACCCAGACTTCGACCTCATCATGATGCTGCAGAGTGAAAGAGACCCAGTAAGCATTTCACTGCTGAAAATGATGACTGCTTTATACTTTACTCAAACATGTCAGAGATGTGTAAAGATGAAGTGAAAACTAGCTAAGGATGTCCAAACTTTTTCCTTTGTCCTAATGTTTGTTTAAAAAGTCAAACAAAGTAAATTTTTGCAGCAGCCATCCAACTTCTCATCTGCAAATGCACCTGTGTTATTGAAGAACTTAATATTTATTGGGCTTTTTGGTGAAATCAATTCCTCTTTGAAAAGTAACAAACCATTCTAAAGTAAAATAAAAGAGAATTTAACAGCTGTTAATACATGTCTGGATGACTACCACGATATTGCATTGTCTGTATTATATACTACTTTGATGCTGACTGAGAAGAAGAAGGAAAAATCATGTGGATTTGTTTTTATTACCCATAAACCTTTTGGGTTTGTTCACCGTTTAATCTTCAAAGTTCTAACAAGCTTAATTTCTTTTATGCTCTTCTTTGTGCCTTAGGAACCAGAACCCAACCCATCTAAAAAACATTGCTTTTGCTCATTTGCATTTCCAGGTTCGAAAGAGAGAAACCAGCCAGAGGTCCAGGCTAAATACAGAACCAACAGTCTCCGTCCCTCAGGAGTCATGGACTGATACAGAAAAGCTGGGGAAGCTGCAACTGACAACCCTAACAACTAAGACGGAGACTCATAATCTGAGGGATTACGGAGCAGAAACTTAAGACAGTTCTAATATGTATATTAGAGGTTAACATATTGTTATTCTGTTAAATCTTTATCCAGCTAATGATGCTTTCATTCCTCATTATTTATTGTCTTTTGTAAAAAGGAAAGGAATCAGTCTAAGGTTATGCTTTTTTTGGTATCTAATCTTTTTTAAATTCATTAATAAAAGCATTAGTATGATTAGTAATAGTTTATTTTTTCTTATTAAGAAAATCAGTTCAAATGTATTTTTTTAAATGTTATCAATAATATTAATGAGGTGCTGAGAAGTATTGTAGTGTTACATTTCAACCATTATTTCATTAAAGTTTGTAGTTTAGACTCACTGATTAAATGAAACAATTTCTCTCTCAGTAACATTTTAATAGATTTTAGCCTGATGCGGAATTATATATTTCATTAAAGAGTTGAATTTAGATTTTTAATAAATATAAAAGCTGCAACATAATTTCACCCCTACTTAAGATCTATAGCTGGTAGATCTATAGCTGGGAGGGTGTTGAACATCTGGTTTCATTCACCACAGCATCTTTTTCAGTTTTGGTTCTTTAATGCAGCCTTTTTCTACTGTTGTGTTTTGTGTGGATCATGCACCAGTTTGCAACCTACTTGGAGATTTTTGGTACCAAATGTAACATTTTATGTAAGTTTCTTGTTTTAATGGATGTGTTTCTATTAGCAAGAGGACAAGTCATTTTGATCAAAATGTTGTATTGTTTTAAGAGTTAGGCTTCTAAAACAAGCTCCCACATCCCTGCCCCCTTAATCAAAGGAAATTGAATAAAAAATTAAAACATTATGTACATTTCACATAACATTTTAAGATTTTTTTTAAGATTATTCATCTCAGTTTTGCATAAATACTCAACTACCAAGAGGAAAAAAAACAACGTGATATAAGAAAAGCCTATATGGGTAACAGACAAACATAATAATAAAAAAAAAGAGGTGATCTGTTTTAAATGTAAATAACAGCATAAGAACATAAATGCTGACAGTGAAGAGTCGTGCATGCATTATATAGAGGTTTCTGGTGTTGAGTGCAGTTACTTACCGCCCTCTTTCTTATAGTAGAAGCACATTTGAACTGTCTGTGGTTTGCCATTATGACATCTGTGCTCAAAGTAAAGGTAGCGTGTGTAGTCCATCATGTCTGTAACGGAAACAAAACAGGTGTTCTAACTTTCTGGGGGTTATATACTTTGTTGTTTTATCATGTAGTAACAGATTTGCAAAATATTACAGAGAACTGGCATCTAAAAAAATGCAGATTGCATAATATTTACTCACTTGTTTTTATTTTCTTTCTTTCCTTTTTTCGGTGTGTGCTAGTTAAACACCAGGCTCTTTCTGGTATCAAATCTGCATCTTGAAGCTCATAAAACTCAAGGCATGTTCCTTTCTTAAACTTCTCATCCAGCAATGTTTGGTTGCATGCTGCCAGTAAAAAAGGATATAAAAGCAATCATTGAAAAGAAACATGTTTTGACCCATATATAAACATAGATTGGACTGTTGGACCTACATTTTAAATCTGCTGACGAAGCAGCTGGTATGTGGATGGTTGCCGGGGGAGAATGTCCTGCCGCATTCCTTGCAATAACAGTGATGTTGACAGCTGAGTAGGAAACATAAACAACGTGGCTGTGTGCTCTGGTTTCATGACTCTTCTTCTTACAGGGGCATCTTGGGGAATACTGTGTGACATGTACACTGTATGTCACACCTCCGACTGCTGCTGCGGGGTGCATCGGCTGGGGAGGAGAACAGAGCTTAGATCAAACTTAGAACGAAATTAAAATACGTCACAGCAAAGTTTCCAGACTAGTCATGAATATGCACCATTAATGGCTGTTGTCTTACTCACTGTCTGCCACATTAAGCTGGAACTGTGACTCAGAAAACAAGTGTAGATGCAAAATTTAAGCTGAAGTGAAAAGTTGGGACCTTAGTGCACCACAGTCCAATATGGATGGGTTATTGATTCTATCTTTTGCTTTTAGGGATCTGGACTTGAGTTGCAAACTTTATCTGGCTGTATGTCCTTTAACTTGGTGACTGACTGTTGTACTGTTTTCTACGACAGAGTATTAGGGCCACACATGAAGAGAAAAAATATTTTTGCCATGACGAGATTAAACTCGCCATTTCGAGAATAAAGTTGAAATGTCATGTTGAGCCCTAATACTCCGTCGTAGTTTTACACTCATAGCCACAACATGTGGAAGTTTATTTTTTTGTACTTCCTTCCAGCCTCAAATGCTCAATTTGTTCCAAATAGAAAACACATTCAATATTATTTTAGCTCCAAAAAACAGCTTTTAACTCAGAAGTGTCCAGTTCTGGAAAAGTGTTAAACATATCCACAAATTTTTGCCTGCTGGAGAGAGTGTTCCTCTAAATATGTAAATGTAGGACTTTGATCAGTGACAGATATAATATATAAATTATTTGCATATAATTTGTTATACTTATATAACAGAAATTTTGAACATGTAAAATATTGGTAAAGGCATACTGCAATGCACAAACAGTTAATTGTTTTATCTCCTGATTTAAATGTCCATTTGATTGTAGCATGTGGAGCCACACAATAAATGGTCTGATAACTCTTTTCCTCTATCACTCTATATTAGTTCACCAATGTAGTATGCTATTATTTTACTTAAGGGATTAACCATGGGTTAACTATTTTTTTGCACACATTTAGTTAACTAATTTTGCCACTTATTGGTTGTTTGGTTTACTTTAACTTAATATACTTTTCATTTGACCTGTCAGTTCTGGGAGGCTGCTGTGTGGGCGTGGCCGGGGGAGTGAAGGAAGGGAGTCCCTAATTGGACCCTTTCACTTGTTTTAGAAGAGGTGTAGGCAGGGTTTAGATTTTTCTAATTTGTTAGTTCTTTTGCAGTTAAAATTGAGTTTAATTACTTAAGTTCTTTTCTGTCACAGGTTGCTGATTTTGTATTGTATGGATTAGTTTTGTTTAGGCAGATGTAGATGTACTGATCAGCCAGTATATATGTTCCACTTGTGTGTCAGCTACTACTTCAGTTGCCTGTGTTTGGGCCCAGATTTATGTTAAGATTTCAGATTTTTTTTTTTTTTTTGCCATTAATAAAATTGTTGCTATTTTTCTCTCAAACTTCCCTTTGCTTTTCTTATTTTTTTTCTCAGCTCAGTCCCTCACAGTTCATTATTATATTATCTCTACTCTGGTAAAAGATGCATTTCATGATCATTTAACAAAATAAAGTGTCAACAAAATATCTGGTTGTCCTTACTTTGGAGTGCTAGTTCAAACTATTAATGTGATATTTGTGTTATCTTACTAAGGACCTGATCTTTAAATATTTAGCCTCTTTATAAGTGTATTGATGTTTCTCCACATTAACAATATTTGGTCTACCTGTTAATTACACCCAGTACTTTGTGTTACAATAAGGGGGTTCTAAGAAAGAAAAGCAAAATTAAAGATAATAAAGCAGTGGGCATAGAAGACATTTTTTTCAGACCAGTTTGGAATAAATCAATTATCAAAGCTATTCTGATATCCATCAAAGACGAACCTAGAGTCCTGTTAAAATACAGAGCGATCAGTCCGATTAGCAAAGGTTACAACATTTATTCAGCTGTCCTTAACCATAGATGTATGATGTAGTCTTGTGGATTGTTGGCAAATAAACAGAACAGTTGTAGGAAAAGTAGATATTGTATCATATTTATGTGTTATCTTCTGTAGTGAGAGCTTATTTGGAGAAGTACAGTACCTCCATTAGTTTTGTTGATTTCAGAAAGGCATTGAATCGTGTTAACCAAGAATTTGTTCTGTTTAAATTTCTTTCATCTGATATCAATGGAAACGATAAAAGCCCTTCAGAGAGAACCCATTGCTTGTGACAAATTGAGAATTTAAGAACAGAATGGTTTTAATGCCTTTTCCGTTGAAATGATCTAGCACAGGAAATGAACAAACTAATCTTGGTCTTCCAATATAGAGGGCATCAGTTTCAGTGTTCTACTTTACATAGATGACATTGCTTTGATTGCAGAAAATGAACTCGATTTGCAGAATAAATTTGAAATATGAGGTTTTGTGGTATGAAGAGGTTTAGGTTCTCTGATACATAAAATAAAGGCCTGTTTGGATATTAGGATTTATTTATTTAGACAACTTGGCAAATCTTTGGTTGACAGAGTCTTGTTCTATGCTGCAGGACTCTGGGTCTATGAAGAGTTTAATGGTTGTAATTCTGTTCAGAAACATGCATTGAGGTGTTTTTTGTGTCTGGATAAGGATGCAGCAAAGGCTGCCATTGAAGGGCATGCAGGATGGGAGCCACATTTAATAAAATAAAGATGTGAAATGGTATGACTGGGGACCTGTCTTGTCAGTCTGCCAGAGGAAAGGCTAACCAAGAAAACGTGTCATTAAAAATCTTCAGCCCTAGTTTGAATTGGTGACATTTGTATAGGCAGATTCTGACATGCATATCCATCCATCAATTTTCTAACACGCTTATCTCAAGTGGGGTCACAAGGGGTGCTGGTGCCCATCTCCAGCTGTCTACGGGCAAGAGGCGGGGTACACCTTGCACAGGTCGCCAGTCCATCGCAGCTGACATGAATATAATGCTTAGAAACATCTTTCCAAAGTAATATACATTCTGTAAGAAAACTATTACTTACAAGATATGAAGCTCAATGGAAGCAGGATACATGGAAGAAACCCAAGCTTATAAATTATGTTCAATTTAAAAATGGTTATTTGTAATGTGCTTAGAACTGGTACCTTACCTCTGGCTGTAGAAGTAGATTAATTTAATGGCACACTACAACATTTATGCTTGTGTGAATTCGTTGTTGAGGATGGATTTCATCTTGTTCTTTATTGTCCTTTAGACTTTGCCTTAAGAAACTCTCTTTTTACTTCCATTTAGTTAAAAAAAATCCTGATATATTTTGAAAAGATGAAGCAGAGACTCTGTATGTGTAAAATTCATGGCTTGTTTTGTATTTTGTCATGTAGCTATTGTAACATATAGTTTTTGATCGTGTTTAATATTCCCATTAGGACTGAGCACCAACCAAGCCATTTGGTGCCTAAACAAACAATCAATTAATAGCAGGTATTGCGTTTATCTCCCTAACAGCTAGAAGCCACCAGCTTTTTTTATTGGAACTCAATCCAAGCGCCCTCCTCATTAAATTGTATTAATTAAGTTGTTGTTTCTGAAAATAGAGAAAAGTACGATTTTCCAAATGTGGCTTAAAGATGATTTAATAATAAATTTTTTTTTTTTTTTTGCTATAAACCTAAACCAAAACCGGCAACACCCCTCCTTCCCTATGTCCAAACCCCCCTCTGTTTTATTTTTATTGTATCAATACTAAAAATGCATCGCCAGGATTTTTGATTGCTGAGAATTATTTATAATGTATAAACCATATTTCTTGATTAGAAAATCTAAAACCAGCAACAAAGCATGCACAAATTTATATCAAGGACACTGTATTCTCACTGTCATCTATTGCATATATGCATTCGGTGGGCATGATGAGCATGTTACACTTACATTGTGTATGTAGAAGAAAATATTTTTAAGTGAAAGAAACATAAAGTTGGAGTTAAAGGTAAAATTATTATTGTATAGAAAATAAAAATGACAATAGTTAGGAGTATTATTCATTTTGAATTTTATATAAAAGCATATGAAATGGATACAGGAAAAAGTAATAAAGAAGAAAGAAAAAGATGAAAATAGTGAGAGCTTAATTTCAAGATAAAAAAATTTATTATTAAACCTAGAGAAGCTCACCTTCTCAACTCCTCTCTAAATACCCCCACCCTGATGACAGACGATAGTCTGACAGGGGCCACTGTCTCACCAACAATGACATAAGGCTCTGAAAAGCTGCATTTAGCTCCGCCCACTCCTCACAACACCCACTTGTCTCAAAATATTTCCAAACCAAGGTAGGCCCATATAATTCTGACCAGGAGCGACTCAAAATATGTTTTGCTGATGTTGCCAAGTGTAATAAAATTTACTTGTAACCCTTCGTACCTTCCAAGTCACTGTCACCCGTCGAGTGCCATTTAACAGCGTTGGTGTTGTCTTTTCTACTTCAGGAGGATGTTCAAGTTCTGTTGGAAAAACCAAAAGGAGAACATGTTGCCTTTATACTCAATATCTTGTTTTTAATTAGACATTTTTTTTTTTTTATCATTTGCCAAAAAATATAAAGACTGATATTTTGAGATCGGGGTTATTTTATTTCATTATAAGACATTTTATATATCTTATGATTAAAGTTACAGAGGAGTTCACTTCTTGTGGTCACAACTGCATGTTTACCAAAAAGTTTTAACCCCAATATAAGTGTGATTTTTTTGTGTCACATTTGAAAGTTTACATGTATCTTTACAGTTTTTTTTCTGTACTAAAAGAAAGCATAGAGTAAAATTAGTTTACCTGCAGGAACTAAAAAATCTGGCGACCAGTTGCTCCACAGGGGGTTTTCAGCCTGGATGGACTGCACTCTGATCCGAACCTGGTAAGATGCATTCTTCAGGAGATTTACAATGATGAGCTTTTCTGTTTATATACAAAGAAATACATTGTATTTGTTGTGCTTCTGTTTATACATACATTGAATTGAATTCAACTTTATTGTCATTACACTGTTTCAAGTGCAAAGCAACAAAATTAACTCTGCATTTTATCCCCTTGGAGAGCAGTGGGCTGACATTGTGCGGCGCACGGGGAGCAGTGTGGGGTTAAGGGTCTAGCTCAGGGACCCAGAGTGGAGGCTGTGGGAGTGGGGCTTGAACTAAGAACCTCTGGGACCCAAGTGCAATGCCCTGACCACTAGGCCACCACTCTTCCATACATTGAATATCCACACTAATCTTTAGTAAATTGTTAGATGACAGAGAAAAAAGCACGCACTCCCACTGTATCAGTTTAGAGATGAAAATCCTGAACTTTAAATTGTGTTTATTGAGATTGTGGAAGGAAGCTGGGGTACCAGTAAAAAACCCAAATATGCCCTGGGGAGATATGCAAACGCTATGTTTAATTAGGCTAAATTTTAAACATAAACTGGAAGGCAACCCAGTCACCGTGCATTATAGTTTCCTGACTAGATTTCAGATAACTGAGTTTTAGTCATACGTTGGTAATAAATCTGACAGGAGTGTCGTTTTTTTTTCTAATTATGCAAATGTGTAACAAAAAAAAAACAGACTCTTCGGAAATGTTGGATTAAAAAAAAACGAAAAAAAAAAAACATTGACATGGATTGGAACTATTGCAACAGCTGAACATCCATGGCCCTGAATGGACAATGTAGTGATTGAGTTTGTATACGCTTGTTTATGGATCAAATATTCCTTTTTCCCACATCATCTGTTTTTATGACACCGTGAGTTGACTTAATTCGCAAAAGAATGTCAATCACATGCAGCTGACAGAACAGATTGCCATTATTTATCTGTTTTATAAATGTTTATCACAAATGTTTGCTCTGATAGAGACTATTGGATTTAAAGAAGGCTTCTCCGTGGGGCAGTGGGTAGTCCTGCCTTGCAGCAAGAAAGTTCCCGGGTTTGATTCCTGGCCTGGGGTCTTTCTGCATTAAGTTTGCATGTTCTCCCTGAGCATGCGTGGGTTCTCTCCGGGTACTCTGGCCTCCTCCCACAGCCTAAACACGTGACTGTTAGGTTAATTGGCTTCTCTAATTTCTCCTTAGGTGTGAGTGTGTGCATGAATGGTTGGTTGTCCTGTTTGTCTCTGTGTTGCCCTGCGATGGACTGGCGACCTGTCAAGGGTGTACCCTGCCTCTCGCCAGTAGACATCTGGAGATAGGCACCAGACCCCACTCGGGATAAAGTGTGTCAGATAATGGATGGATGGATGGATGGATGGATGGATGGATGGATGGATGGATTTAATGAAGAAAATTTTTTTAATCTTATATCAGTTTGAAGATGGAATATAGTCCTAACAAATGACCATGTCATTATCAAACCTTCTCTACTTGCTGGGGAGGTTCTGCTGTGGAAATCTTCCTGTGATCCTAGCAAAGATGTTGTGATGAGCTCTGCTCTAGTCTCATAGATAAACAATCCACTTTGCCAATGTGATCAATGTGATCAATTGAGAGCAAAGAATTAAATTTCTTTGCTGTGTTGTCTTCAACATGATCTGTTTATGTGCCTCTGTCATTTCGCATACGGCCTTCCGGCTGCTATCCAGAAGTCGTTGTTGCTCCAAAAATTCCTCCTCTACAAAAATCTTCCAAAGATACTGATTCCCAATCCCCAAACAGATCATAATCAGCTAAGTAGCTTATCATTTATTTGAAGGGAGAATAAGATGGAGTCCCAAACAGGACAGGTACCTGTTCTCCTTCCTCAGAAACCCCCAGGCCAGTCATGAGGATGATAGAAATAGACCTCATAAACAAAAAGAGGAGAAGGATCTAATAGCACTTATACCTCCAGAGGTAATGAGGAATTGCTTAGAATGGTAAGCCTTTTCTAACTCTATGACTTTTTTGTATTCTTTTGTAATTCTATAGGTTTGTAGTAGCCCACCCTTTTCCACATAAACCCAGGTCCTGCATGTTTTAGGTATTTCCTGTTAGGGTTAGAAGCATGGGCGGTTCTAGACAGGGGCCAACGGGGGCCAGTGCCCCTGTAGATCATGTCCTTGACCCTGTACTGAAGACATATTACTCAAAGAAATTCTAATGATGATATGCGCTGGAACAGATATAGTTACTGATAGGTTCTTTGGATCTATTTCATTTTTTTTTCTTTACAAGTTCTGTCTTTTCTAATTATTCAAAAGCAATAAGGTCATTGCTTCACTGGTATTGAGATAGGATCCCAGTTTTCTTCTGCTCAATGTTTTTTTCAAAGCAAAATACAACTGAAATCATCAGTTTTTCTTGAGTTCTAATTTAGATTTTATAAAAAACAGTAATGTTAACTTAAGTTATGCCAAAAATATGTTAAATTCTTAAATTATGAATGTATATAGACCTAATAAGGCATAGAATTATAATTAAACCTTATTGAAATAAAATTTCACTTCATGCAGCTATCTAAATATATTTGAATCCCTGGCCCTGTTTTTTATGTCATGCTTTTCTGTGCCCCTATAAAAACACGCTAGCCCCCTTCTGGCCCCCTAGTACATTTGGTCTAGAACCGCCACTGGTTAGAAGGGAGCCAGACTCAGGACCTTCTTGCTGAAAGACAGCAGTGCTACCAATTACATCGAAGTGTAGCTTTGCCATTTCAAGTTACATTAATGTTTTTAGGGCAAATAAAGCAAACCAAAACCCAAGTATTATTCAAGCATAAACATTTATTTCGAAAGAATAATTGAAGGAATATTTGTGCACTCACGCGTTGAAGCCTCCCTGGTGGTATTTAATATTCTCTGTAAAAAAAACAAATATTATGATTGATTTATGAATATTAATAAAAATATATAATACATATTGTAAAGAAAAGCCTTAAATCTCACTTTTTCCCATGTTTCTGACAGGGGCTCATATTTCCTGAACGAGACCTCAGCTAAAGATGGATATTTAGATTGCCAACTTAAGCTGAGGTTGTTTCTCAACCAGGAAATAGATATATTTTGTGGTGTTTCATATTTAACTGCAAAAAAAAAAAAAAAAGAGTCAAACACTGTGAAAATGTATAACTCTTTGTCATTCAGTGCTGAAAAAGGAGAAGGAATGGCCTGTGTTACCTGTGTGTCTCAGTATCCCAGACCTTATAGGTGAGGTGCAGACGGAGTCTCCAGCATGAGCCTCCACCCAGATATCAACTTTATCACCAACTATCAGTATTTCCTCATTTATCTCCTTACGGTTTTCCTTAATGTTCTTAAATGGAGTTGTTATAATATCAGAAGTGTCACTAACAAGAAACACACAAATATAAAACAAAATGAAAGGATCATCTAAACAACATGTGTGCAACTGCATAAACTGAAAACATTTTAGCATATTAAAGCTACATCCTATTTAACTCAAACTGGTGCTTTTTAGTGTCATTCCATCGACATCATACACAATAAACAGTGCTGATTTTTTTAAGCTGATGGTCCAATTTTTGTTCATGAAAAAACAATAAAAACAAATTATTGGTTAAAAATTGGATAAAAAAACATCTTATGAACTAGTGTGGCCATGAGCACTGTCATTAATTCAGCTTAAAATTGTTTGTTATGGACACAGTATTAGACTACAGTTGACCAGACTGAAAACAGTGACAGGAGGCAACATTTTCATTTAGGAGCTCTGGGATATCATCGTACCTCAGTTGTTTTCTTTTCCACTTTATCTGTTGCAGACTTGCTGATGTGTTTGGGATTAAAGACCTGTTGCATACATTAATTTTTGCATATTGTAGTTGTTAGATTATCTCATATAAGAATAAATCAATATACGTCAGAGTTCTTGTTTGGCTCAGTGGCCCTCCAACACTGCGCTCTACTGTTGGTAGATAAGTATAAGTTTCTGTGTTGATATCTGCATTTAACTTTCTTCTAGCATGGTGCTTTGTGCTATTAAGAGAATAATCTCTGTTTCTGTGTAATTTGTCCTCAGAAAAATGTTCTGGAAGTCTATTTTATTCAGCTGCAACATTGCAAACCTTTTCCCAGACAGGTTTTCCAAGCAAGACATACTATGCTTTTAGTTTAAGGTTTTCCTGATTGTTTAGTTGTCTTTTTGTTTGAGATTCTCTGAGCCTGCAGCTTCTAAAATAGAGATCTTGGGATTGTTGCATTGCAAAATCAGACCCTGGTGTAAATCTTGCAGAGATATTCTCTCCTTAGAAGATTTCCATCTGTTTTTAAAGTTATTTTATTCTGAATCATTAACCTTTCTCTGTAAGATGATAAACTTTACTTTGTTTTAAAATAGTTTTTTAACCATCCATATTGACATGCAGTAGTAACATGGCATATTAATATTGCGCTGCATTCTACACACCATAAATGTGCCAACAATCCTCTTTCTAAAGATCTTCTGCCAGTGATATGATCAATAAGAACCTTTCGTCTTTAAAGTACTTAACTTTTTCCATGTCTTTTTGATACTATCTTCATTCATTACCCCCCCATTCCAAAAGTTTACTTAGCTTAGCAACCTATATTAATTCAAAAAATACTTTCTTTTTTGTAGGAATAAACATCACACAGAGGACAGTATAGATTTTGTAATTGCACTACAAAAACAATCTAGAAATAAGTCAACTTTTCTTAAATTAAGTATATTAACCCTTAATTTGATTAGGTAAATAAGATGATTTGCCAATGTAATTAGTATTTTTACTCCTAAAATAAGATAATAAGCACTTGAAATAAGACAATGCAATATTTTTTCCTTATTTTAAATGTAAATTAACTTGTTCCATTCACTTACATCCTCAATTCAAAAATTAATCCACTTATTTAAAAAAAAAGGCTTATCTAGATTTAAATTTTTTCCAGTGTATAAAAAGAATTACAAGTGATTGTGAATCAAGAACTATTTATTCGCCTGTTCCTGTTGTCACCTCATGATGACATTTCAGACAGCAGTTTATCGGCTTCACTTTCATACTAGAGGAAACGGTGACCTGTCCTCACTCTCTACAGAGAGAACTGAAAAGAGTTTATTAACACAATGTTCAAGTTTTCTTTCAGTTATTCTGTTTAGGAAATATTGTCTCTTCAGAAGTGCTCTACTAGTACCAATCTGCTATTTAAACACTGAGCAATTCCAAAAAAGTAAAAAAAAACACAAACAACTGGACTTTGTTTTCCAAGTTTAAAGACGTTTTGCTTCCCATCCAGGAAGCTTTTTCACTTCAAAATGTCTGGATTAGCGTTGAGTTCCAAGCTTATAGAGTAACCCAACAAAGCATCTTTATGGCTTAGAAAACATTCAAATTGAACTCTGAGCAATACTTACTTAAAGTAAAGATCAAATGTCACATTAGTTCCATTTGGGCTGAAGTCCCATTCACAGATGTAAACAGTCTCTCCCTCGTTTTGTCGGAAACACAGAGGCATGGAGGGAGGCTCACATGTTGACCCTTAGGAGAAAACAAATTTATAAATCTATTTTGGATCCCCATCAGATACAGGCTAGAGTGTGACAGAGGAAAACTCAGATTCAGGTGTATGCATTTCTGGCTGAATTTTAGCCAAACCATTCAGTAAATAAAAAATAAGGGTCTGCTTACACTATGTAAATCTTTATTTTGTTATATTGTTGTAGTTTTTTGTTTTAATTGCAAATTTGTGTTTCTTCAGATCTGCTTGTAGCGCTTTGGTTTTTAACCTATCTCCTAAAACTGATCTTTTTGTCTCATTCAGAAGAGACTAAAGTGAATCTGAACAGAAACATGAATGTGACTTTAAACCAGCGTCTCGATAACAGGTTAAGCCATGTTTTAAATTTGATCAGTAGTACCTTCCTGAGACAACTCAGACAGCGCACAGCGGATGTCACCTGCTATTGGAAAACCACATAATGCTGATAAGCAAACCAATGCTCTGCGGCTGACATTTTACTTTAGTCCGTTTGTCACTTTTACTCAGGGTCTAAAAATCTAGAATATAATTTTTTTGTCAATGTAAGTGTAAAATAAAAATACTTTTAAAGACAAGTTGACAATCTACCTTTGTTGATTGTTGCGATGAGCAGAAATATCACACATCCATGTAGTGCTCTCAAGTGCTGAAAAGTTTCCATGAAGTAAACTATAAAGGAGAAGGATTATCATAACTGAGTGTAGGAGAGTCCATGAAGTCAACCTGTTTTCGTGTAACTGGGTCGTGTTTCCCAGAAACGTCACATTTTCACATCTCAACTTATATGAGCTCGAGCAAAACCACAAAGAGTCAAGGGTGGGGGGAGCTTGTGTTCGTCACTCTTGCAGACAGACAGAGCAGTGACTCTTTGAAGTCTTTTCTTTATTTTTTCTATGCTCATTTCCCTACAATTATTTCTCTTTTCATACTTCCCATCAAAGAATCAGTGAAGCTGCAGTAACGGTGGAAACTACAGCAAAAAATTGCAGACACCTACATGTAGTGTAATGTGTCAACAGAGAGTGCTGCTTGCACACCTAAATGAGTTAATATGAGGAGGGGAAAAGTACTAAGTTCTCTTAATTTCTCAATTTTGGTGAGAACATGAACAGATCTGTGTAAATCATCTAGGTCAAAGAGCTTTTGTCTTAAGGACTGGAATTGATCTTTTTTTTTTTTTTTTTTTTTTTTTTTTGCTTTTAAGGGCAACAGTATTAAATATTCCTCTTGGATTGTCAATCATCCATTAAAGAGCCCAAATACCACCTAAATAAGATAAACAACAAATTAGGCTTTAATTTTCTTGCACTGTTATCCATGAGCAAAACATTCGTTAGTGGTAATATATAAAGAGATTTGGTTTTTAAAAACAAAAAAGAAAATGAACATCAACACAATGTTATTTTATGTGACACAGAGTCCTGAAACCTGGATGATTATTGTTTCTTCCTTTTGTCAGCACATACACATTGTGCGTACCAGCTTTTCTCCACATCCTTTCGATCTGCTAGACAACAGCTTGCAAAGGACTGTTTTTGGGAAACGACAGTGAAACATGGAACTCTGGATTAAGAGGAATAGACCTCCGGCTCGTTAAACCCGATAATAAAATAAAAGTATTACTATCATAATGGGCTTTAAAGATCTGACCCACATGCAGAGAACCACTTGGAGACCAAGGGTAAAAGTTTAACAGGTTTATTGTAGGTTAGCAAACACTGATGAAGATTGAAACTCTGTGGGGAAACAATGCTGGAACTCAGTGGACTGGTGAACCGGAAACTTTGAAGGGGAGATCACAGTGATCAGTTCTGGGACATTGGGAAAATAGACTGAGGCTTGAATATTACTGGAGAGCCACCACTTTTGGGGTGCTCTTGGTTTTTCATTGGATCCAGTTTGTGGGGGTTTAATCCAGAGAAGAGGAAACTCGTTGGAGAGCAGACAGGCAGACATACATTGGACATACCCTTCCTCAGTGAGACTAAGTTAATCCTTCCAGGAATAGAAGGTCCAGGCTTACCCAGTAACACAGGAAGTCTTCCTGCCGAGGAACAAAGACAAAAACAAGTCCAGACTCAGAGAAACAATGCTAAGGTTAGACTCTGCTAATCTCAGTTTGTCTAGAGTACCCAATACTGGCAAACACTCTGGCGTCAAGGTGGTGACAGCCCGCTGCTCTAGTACTCCTCTGGTAATGACCCAACGAGGCGCAGGTGTATAGTGGAAAAATTGCAACTCTTCTTTTAGAAAGTAAGGTTGTATGAGCAATGCAAACAGAAACTTTTTAATAGAGCGTTCACAAGGACAAATGGGCTCGTACTTGCCCTCGCACTTGTTTATTAGACGTTCCCTCTTGGGAGCAGGTACCGGGGTGTGAATGTGCTTTTTTTTTAAAACTGTATAGGGTCAGTCTTTTCAAAAATTCATGAAAATACTTTATTACACCTTTAAGATAAGAGATAAGTTAAAACTTTATTAATCTCACAATGGGGAATTTGCACAAAATAAACTTTATTTAAAAAAATAGCCTGCCAATCAGTATGAAGACAGTATTGCTTTTGTGCCATTTCTGTGCTATTACAAATAATTCAGTAAAGAATGAGCAACTTCAACAAAGATTTCACCAAAACTTGATATGTGATTATTTAAGGAAAGTTTTGACGTTATAATTTTTTTTATTTGGGTCCAGTAGTAGGAAATATGTAATTTATATCATTCTATTAACTTTATTTGAAATGGGTCCATTTGTACAAAGGTATCACCAGCATGGTAATGTCCTTGTGTCTCTATGCTTTTAATGCTCTTAATGATCTGTGTACATCTCAGATCTCTGATGTTCCACTGAATGACGGTTTTGTAGATGTGGATAAAGCTGGGGAGCCAAAACCATCTGAGTGTTGGGATCTGGAGGTCTGTCCACTTTTCTCCACCAGAGGGCGTTCTAAGTCTACTGGAGCTGGAGCTGACTACACCACCTGCGGCTCGTTTGCTCATCAGGAGACCAGTACTTAAGGAGGCGGAGAGCTACACTCCGGCGCCAGAGTGTTTTGCCAGTTATGGTTAGCAAGCCTGAGCCAACCTGCCTGTCTGAATCTCTGACTCCCAGAAAGCCTGAACCTGAACCTAATCTGTTTTGTCCTCTCTGCTTCCCAGATTGAACCTGCCTGAAACCTGAAACCTTGAAGAGTTTCTCTGTTGGAAACCTGTCAGTCTGATCTCTGAAGAACCCTGGAGAATCAAACCTGTCAAAGACCTGCCTGCCCGCTCTCTGAAGAACCTGAAAGAGAAACTCAAATCATAACCCGCCAACTCTCAAACCAAGCTCTGCCTCCACCAAGCCCTCAGCCTGCCGACAGCCTCTGGACCCTCCTGGTTCCCCCTCTCTGCCGCTCTGCTCAAACTCCAGTACAGGTACAGACCTGCACTATCTCATCCTGCAAATTACCTGGACTTCAGCTAACCACTCTGTCCCCCTCTGCAGTGAATCCAGTCATGACCAGTCCTGGATCTGATAATCCCTTGGATCAGTTCTTTATTCAACTGTGTTGTTCAATAAACCTTTGAACTTTTTCTCCTGTGTCCGTGTGTTCTGCATACGTGTTAGAAACCTAAAACCAAAGATGACACTGAGCCACTCTGGTGTGATTAAGCCACATCTAGTGTTTGTTCAATCACAACAATCATCAGTCATAGGTTGCTGACTTATACCAATCTGTTTCGATTTCTGCTTTCAACCTGTTGACATACTGAGGCAATATGTAAAGGTAGCACTCAAAACAAGTATCAAAACAATGTGGGTAAAATAAGCACTTAACACGCAACCACTTTTCTCAGTAAATATATTTCTAGAGGTGCTATTGACGTGACATTTTCACCAGATCTTGGAACCGAACCATGCAATCTACACATACAAAAAATAAAATAAAATTAAAGCATAGATGTGACACAGGGAAAAAGTACTGAACACACTTGCTGAAATGTATTCAATACTTTGTACAAAAGACTTTGTTGGGAATGACAGCTTCAAGATGCCTCCTGTATGGAGAAATTACACATGTATTGCTCAGCTGTGATTTTGGCCCATTCTTCTACACAAAAAGTCTTCAAATCTTGAAGGTTTTTATTGGCCTCTTCTATGAACTCTGATCTTTAATTATTTCCATAGATCTTCTATTGGATTCAAATCAGGTGGTTAGCTGGGCCATTCCAGAAGCTTTATTTTCTTTCTCTGAAACCAAATGAGAGTTTCCCTGGCTGTGTGGTTGGGGTCATTGTCTTGCTGAATGTGTCATCTTCATCGTCCTGGTAGACGGCAGCAGGTTTTAATCAAGGATATCTGTAAATTTTTCATGTCATCCTTCTTCAGTTATTTGAAGTTTACCAGTATCATATGCTGAAAAACAGCCCCCCCCACCTCCAAACTTCACTGTTGGTATGGTGTTTTTGGGGTGATGCCGTTTGACCTCGAAACATGTGTTTTATGGCATCCAAATAGTTCCATTTTGGTCAATTTTGTTCTATATTCAATAAATGACTATTTTCTAAAAACTATATAATGAAGGGAGATATTCAATTAATCCATGGATTTTTAACATTTTAAGTGTTCCTCAAGCTTGACTTAATGTTGTGCAGCAAACTTTAAATGAGCTTCAACATGCTTTTTCTTCAGCAATGGAGTATTGCATGGTAAGTGTGCATACAGTGCATGGTGGTTGGGTACTAATTACTTAATGTTTTCTTTGAAATAATTGTAGCTACTAATTCAGGGTCTTTTTTAAAGCTCTCCACAAGTGGTTTTTGGTTCTTGGACAACTCTTCTGATAATTCCTTTCACTCTGTCAGAAATCTTGCAAGGAGTACCTGGTAGTGGTCACTTTATAGTGAAATTATGTTCTTTCCACTTCCGTAGCATGGCTTCAACAGTGCTCACTAGAACATTCAGAAGTTTAGTAATCCTTCTGTAACCAATTATTTTCAACAGTAAGGTTAAAAAAGGTCTTGAGAAAGCTCGTGGGATGTCTCTTGTGGGGCACCAGAGGCACCCTTTTATAGGCCATCATTTAGGATTGAACCAGCTGATATTAATTTGCACTAATTACTGAGAGAATTTAGCTGGTGTCTTGGCTTTCCGTGCCTTTTTGCACCTCCCTTTCTTCATATGTTCAATACTTTTTACCTGTGCCATTTCATTTTATTACACATAACTTCATTTATGGACATCTATGGATAGATTTCTTTGTGTGGGTTGCATGGGGAGTGGCGGCCTAGGGGTTAGGGCAATAGAACTTGGAATTCAAAGGTTCTGAGTTCGAGCCCCACTCCCACAGACTGCCACAATAGCTCCCTGAGCAAAACCCTTAACCCCACGCTGCTCCCCGGGCGCCCCACGATGGCAGCACACTGCTCCCCAAGGGGATGGGTTAAATGCAGAGGTTGAATTTTGTTGCGCTGTACTTGTGACAGCATAATGACAAGAAATTGCTGACAAGAAAACGTTGTATTGTTACCGACAACTGGTGAAAATGTCATGTCCATAGCACCTCTAGATATATATTTACTGAGAAAGATGGTGGCACCTTCAATACTTATTTTACCTGCTGTAAATATACTGTTTTTTTTTTCTTTGTGTTTTACTGTGTAAAAAAAAAAAAATATTATTATTTTTTTTTTTGCAGTGAGAGGGTCCTGGTTCTAATTCCTTATTCTTGTTGGCCTCTGGAAATAGGAGCTGGCCCTATGAACAGTACAACGATAACATT